CTTCTGTTACTGTATTAGCAATTGGTATAACTATAGTGAAAAAGTATTTTGTATGGAAGTCAAAATACTACCTTTATGTCACATATCCGCACGTTCGGTTCTACTTTCTTCATTTGTTAAACATCTGACATGCTCTAACACATGTTTCACATTTCTAAGAATTGAAAAATATGGAAAAAATTAATGTGCTTTTAAGTAATATTGTTTTTAAAAACAGGTATTGAAATATTACACTTTCCTTACGACATTTATAGGATAAAACATATAGTGTTATAGAGACATTTTTCAACATTCTGTTTTTATATTTTTTCAATTAACCCCCTTCTGATATTCACTGAAAATCTAAATCTCTAAATGGAAAGTGATTTTGCAAACATTTTCTTTTGAATAATTGCGGAGAAATTCTCTAAAACTTAACACAGAAGGTTATTTCCTAAGTAAATTTTCTTTACAAGATATTTTCTGCTTCAGTTCAATTTGTTATGGACATTCAAATATAGTTACGAAAGTAATTGTTTCGAATTTAACGGGAAAACATGTGGCGAACGCTGTTGTACTAATATAAATAATGCTAAAATACTATTTAAGAGATGTTTCGTGGAATTAGAAATACATAATTGATTAATTGCTCGTTAAAAAACACTAAAGACTTTGACTAATACGTTTTAAACAGGGAAGGGCTTAAGTGAAAACGACTAAAAGTAATGATGTAAAATTGTATTGAATTGCCTTACACTAATGACGAGTATATATGTAGCCAACTTGGTGGTTCTCTGTATCACAAATTGTTTTCTCTCTCTCCTTAATGAATATTAGTGCTGTAAACACATAATGGCTTTGTTAAACTTAGGGTTATTTAAAAGAACATTATGGGGCATAAAAGCAATGCTCGGTTTTTTAGAGGTGTGTTAAAAACTTAAAGTTTAAATTAGAGTTACCAAAATAGTTTCTTATTCATTATGCGATTGTGGCGATTAAAGAGACTTGCCTGTAAAACTATTGCCGATTATTTTCTATTTTATCTCCTATTAATAAATACTTTATCGCTTACAATCAAGTATTTGATATTGTCTATTTAAACCTAATAAATTACTGGTAGCTATTATTCTTTAACATGTTTACTTTAAACAATCTGTAACAAAAACATTAAACTGAGAGCACAATTTAAACGGAAAATTCAATTTTGCTAATAAGGGTGGAAACGATATTATTTGCTCAATCAATTCATCTTATATTAGTTCACATATATAAAAGGACGTACAAATATTTGAATTAACAGAGAAGTGTTTATATAACACATTTATCAATGAAAGCTTTGTGGCTGTGTTGATTCAGATGGGTGTTTTAAAGTAGTCGTGCCCATTAAATTCATGTCAGTAAATCAATTAAATGTGTTGATTTGCGTAAGTGGTGTTGGCAAATGTTTATAAATATAAAAAGGTCATGCACTTAACAAAGGATCACCTTGCCTTCATTAATATAATTTCTATTTATCAAATTAAAACAAATATAACTTTGTCATGATGAAAGGGAAAGTAATGTAATGCGGTTAAAAACTTGTAAATATTCGTGTTATCTCCCTTTGGTAATAAATGCACAAATCTTCAGTCAGACGACGGTCTACTATGATTATCATCTAACAACATTTAAGTGTTGTGTTTTTGTTTAATCTAATAAAAAAGGCGATGCACAAATACGCAATTTAACAATATTTTCTATCGGTTTTCAAACATAGCCTTTACCTTTCCATAATTATCATAAATTTCTTTTGTTAATCAAACAGTTAATATCATGTTTTCTGTATTTTAATTTTTAACGAAACCATGATAAAAACAATTCAGATGTTATTTTACAATGTGTTTGTATGACTGGACAATTTACGTAAGGCAATGTTTTCTGTTCGTGTATATAGGTGTTTACAAGTATTAGACGAGACGAGAGAAATGTAAACTTGGGATACCAGCTAGGACAAGTTGCTTTTTTTTAATTGTTGTTGTTGTTTTCTTTTCTTTTCTGGCCCCAGGGATAACCACAATTATTGCCTCCGTCACGAGACTTATTAATGGTCTGGGGTTCGTCCCTTAATAGTCTTACAATGATAAGAGCCAACAAATTACAAAGAATTATAAGGTAACATAATAATATCATTATGTATAACAAAGAAACATTTGTTAAAAAAAACATGTAAAGGAGGTCAAGAAATATTTTTACATGTATAACAGTGACTGTTTTCTGAAATATCAGCGTAAGTTAATGAGAATTTTACATTTAGCGTTCCGAAATGATGATATAGCTCGCAATGTGTCAATTTAAACGAATGAATGACTACACAACACAAAGAAAAGTAATATTTGTTTTCACTCATCCTGAATTGCACTCAGTGCATTGATATTACTTAGTGGACTTTGAGTGCTACTGACAAAAATACTGACCTATACGGTACAGAGTAAGCTAAGTCTGGACATATTGAAAATGAAACTACCTTATCTAAAAATTTACTTGTCTATAGTAATAACTGCAGTATTGGAATCATGTTGGCTGGTACATGGCTTAGCTTTTATGCATACTACCTTTAAAATAATGGATTTAAGGAGCTGAGGTAAAAACAAAGCCTGAAAATTTTTAATTTGAAATTCTTGTGCAGATTGAGTCCCTACATATCAAGAAACATCATTGGAGTCCCTTTAAGAATCATATTAACAAAAATACTAGTACCTTTTTAGACAACAAGCAAATCTTTTAATATCATGTTCTACAAATAGTCTGGTTTGATCTAAATTCCTGTTTCGTATGTTTCGTAATGCGGTTTTATAGTAATTTATTCATATATTTAGCTTGTAAAAACAGTTCGTGATGCTGAAATTGAAAACAATTCGCAACAAGTCACGTTTTTAACTTTTTTTTTCACGCTTTATTTTTGTAAAGAGATAAAAACTATTGATATTTAACGGATGTGTCTAGCCGATCGTACGTTATAAAGGTAAATCAACCAAAAGATTATGGTTAGCCAAAAGATCGTTCCTGCACCTTTAAGGGTTTTCGTATCACACTGAGAGTGTTACGAAAATGACATGTGATTGTTCACATGACATCAATAACAAACACTACCATCTTTATTTTAAATTCCACGATTTATATCAAATAAAATGTAACGGCCAGTTCGTTAGATGTGTTAATGAAAAAAAAACAATAAACAAATTGTGGACACATTTGAATGTTTTAAAAGGTCATAGAAAAGAGAATTCAGAACAAGGAAATAGTTTGTAGAGCTCAGATTGTATAAGTCGAAATATACAAACTTTTCCATTAAAATATGCGACAGGTTCCATACCCACGAGAAACAAATATACACGTAATTGCTTTTTTTTGTTAAAGAATATTTAATAAGTAGAACACATGCTTTAAGGGGTCGGTGTCGTGACCTAGTGGTTAAGGTGTCTGATTTAACCCAGGGATTATGGATTCGAGCCCTACTCGGGTCACGGCCTTGTTTCTTTATATGACACCAGTACTGATTGGTTCCAGGAAGCGGACTCGAAAGTGATTAATATAAGTTGAAAAAAAATTGTTTCGCAATTAAGCTTAAATCAATATGTTGTAACAAGCCTGTTTTTTCTTCACAAATCAATATCACTGGAATAAACAAACAATATGCGTTGGATAAAAATAATAAAACAAATAATGTAAATCACGGTAAATGTTAATTTAAACATACATTTATCATACGAGGATTACTGTAGACGAATAGTACAGAACTGAAAAGACATAAATATAAATGTAATTAGCTTTTCTATTACATAAAATGATTCATTTAATAATTAGTAGTGATATACAGAAATAGTGCGCCGTATATTATAGTAAATTACTGCTAAGCATGAACTTAAGGTAAATTTGTGAGTGTCGGTCTACTTAAAAAGCGTTAAAACGGCTTTTTTCTTATTTTGTCCTATAAAAATCGTGATGTATAAATGTTACAATATAAAAAAATAAAGATATATGTATAATTTCTCAATTATGATATTTGAAATTAATTAAATTTTTAAACCGTCTCTTTTAAAATGTAAAATAATCATCTTTTGAGTAAACACAGAGAAGGAATGACTATATGTACATTATGCATACATAGTGCCATTTAAAAAAAATGGCAGTTTTTAAAGAAAGGACCAAATTAACTTAAACAGTTACAGGGAATGCAACTTCCAATAGCAAGTTTTTGGATTTCTTATTCAAATTAGAACAATTTAGTAAGAATATCACAGATTTCAAAAAAAAAATGTCTACAATAAAGTATTTTACCAAAGTTGAGCATAGTATATCACTCTTTATAGATGTACAATTTGATAGGTAATTAATTCAACTAAATACAAATGGGCGTTTTCGGACGGGTGAAAACATTATGTAAATTTGCGGATCCTGAAACTTTTATTTTGTATTCATGTCTGACATAAGTTAGAAGTCAATTTTCGTCAAAAATATTGTTGTTATTCGTGAGATAAACCCACGCAGAGCCATAAAGTTGGACTGTTACTTCCCTAAACATGATGACGTCATATCCAAAACAACATGGACTTCCGGTAAGTGTTTATTTACCTTCCTTTTATGTCGAGGAAGAAAACAAAAGCAATAAATGACGTGACCAGAAAATTGTTTTTTTAAATGATTTACGATGAAACATAAATTAACTAATTAAATTAATTTGAAATATTTGTCTGCGCTACATGTGAAAAAAAATTTACTGACATTGATATCTTTTGTTATCTTAAATGAACTTTTTTCACTTAAAAAACGTCAGTTTTATTATTTATTATTATAACACGAGAAATGAATGAATGAAACGTATATCCATTAACTCATTCTAATTTTACGTATATTTACTGTTGACTGTCAACGTCAGGTCCACGTGATTTATAGGATAGCTTCAGTTTTTATGGCTTACGTTAACGTTAAACGTCGCAAATGTTTACTCAAGCGTGATGAGTCAACATTCATATAAATACCTTACTTGTTTGCCTTGATAACGTTAATTCGAATAAATTTCATCGATTTTACAACTTTAATTTCTACATTTATTGTGGAATATAATTAAAAACGTGAAGAAAATTTGTTTTAAATAAGATTACGAGTATAAATAAAAGTAAAAAAAGTTTTATAGAGGTTAACATTGAAACTGATATAGGAAAGGGTAAGTTTGTGCTAATTGTATCTGTTTGAGTCATATTTCTTTAAATTTAATATAATTGAAACCAGTTAAATTGATGCTTTTTAAAATAATAACTTAAAGGTTTATTTTCCCTGTTTATGCAAGAAGTGTTAAGCATGAAAGTTATATTATATGCATAAAAGTGTTCTCTTAAAAATATGACTATGATTTGTTTTGTTTTTTGTATTTTAATTGTATGAAAGATACAATTTTCGATCATTAAGTATAGATATTAATGATTCAGCGATATTTAAGCGATGAATTCAATTAAGAAAGTAATTTCGGCAATATTTTACTATGTAGATTTATCATACGTCAAAGTATCTTTAATTAAACAAATAATTGTTTTCAGCAAAATTTTACAAAGTTAACTAATGGGACTGATAATTCTCATACTTTTGCTATAAGCATGACATTATATTTCTTAATTGTGATTATAATGAAAAGAAATATATATATATCACCCTCGCCTGTATTTTGGTAAAGTTTAGTTATTCCGTTGTATTATCAAATGGTTCTTTCAACTCGAATTCCTCAAGTACCTCATATTTGCATTAAGGCTACTAGTATTGCAACATATTCATGTTTTAAAATAACTTTTAAATAATATTAAATGCAGCATGAACTTTTTTTGAAAGAAATTGAGTTTCTTACTACGATGCAAGAAATTTCACGTGCGCACGTAAAAAAAGAAAATTTTCATTAACTTAAATTACTAACTAAATGATGCAAAATTTGATATTCTATTGAACGATATTTCCCATGTTTTGTCCTATGTAGATCTGTATTTTTTTCAAGTTCTCCTAACTTTTTAGACATATATGGCTTCCAGATAAAATGCGCGCGGTTTAAATAGTTCAATAATAAAGAAAATATAGATACATATATACAAGCAGTTTAAGAACTGAGCACGCAAAAGATTCCTTACTCATAGCTGTTGATTTTGCCTTTAGCGATTTTTTAATTTCATTTTGTGTAAACATGTCGGTATTTTCCTTTTCGCCAATGAAAAAGGATGTCAACACGTTTTTAAAATGTTAACGATTACCGTCGCATTCCGTGAATTTATAGCCTTCTTCTTGTTTTAACATGATTGAGACCACAAAAATATGTTTATACACTTTGACGTCACAGGCAAATTATTTTAAATGTGCAACTAACGAATCAAAATTTATGACCCGAGGTGAAAAAACACGCCGTTGAAGCAATTGGTCCTAATTGATGAGTTTAGGCATTGCCATTTATCAAAACACAGTCACTTAATTAGAAATAGTTTTAATGGTGATAAATGACTAACCAGACATCTTTTTCTAGAGAAGGGACTATATATATATTTAACCCATGTTCTCATTTACACCAATTAATACAATACTTATGTACGAATATTGAATATTTTATAATTAAATCTTTATAGGTTTAAAGTTTATAATATTAACATTTTAATAAATTACAGGAACAATGGGGAGGAGAAAGGATTCCCTTGTGGGATACCTGCTTTTATGTTTTACTTTCGCAGTTTCATACGTATCATCAGAAAAGTAAGTAACCTTTTTACTAGTTAAGTACATGCTTAAGTGCTATATGACGGCTGTCACGTGCAATGCGTACTCTTGTTATAAATGATATAATTTGGTATTTCAGAACTATACAATTAATTCATTTGTCAGATTCTAGGGTAAATAAAGAATGCATTTTTGTCCATCAGCTTTTTTGCGAATGTTTTTATAGCAACAAAAATACTCCGGTGTTTCGATGGGAAAAAATAATAAGGTCACATTTCCGTTTAAAAGTAATGATAGTATAAGAACAATTTTTCAGTGGTATATACTATATGTTTGCTATATACAAGCAAAAAAGGACAGCACATATAAAAATAAAAAATAAATAAAGATCAAGGATACGTGCAATCCAGATACTATTTATTCCTAAATTAAATACCTCTTGTGAAGAACATGAATGGGTAATTCAATGATTCATATTATAACACGCCGTCAGTATGCCTTTCTGTTCGCTTAACTTGACAGTGACGTTTAAATAAATGATCCGCATGTAAACATACATTTTATCAATTAATTAAGACACACATGGAGCAAAGCATAGGTATGTCCACTACTATGTTTTTTGTTTTATTTTCGTAGTGGAACATGATTTTTTATGTTATGTTTTTTCCATTGTTAGAGGCATTTAACCCAATCGTGGAATACATACATCATCTTTAACGTAAAGTTCATTTAAAGATAAATGAACAATCGCTACATCATACTTCTATTGAAAAACGTATTGATTCTTTTTCAGTACTTATCTATTTTTATCACCAAAGACCATACGACCTAGTCACAACCTTACAATTCAAAGTTCGCTCCTAGTTGACCCATTGACCCCTGTTGAAGTTACAGTTACCTTAGAAAAAGAGATAGAAGTAGAGGTAGGATTTAGACCAAGACCAATGCCTAGGCTGCTGATAAGGAATGGCAATGGTCTCCCGGAACCTCCCACGACATCCGCTCCTACTACAACAACAACAACACCGATACCAGAACCAATTGTCACAACAAGGGCTGTCTTGTTTACCAAAGAAGCTCAAGATATTGTCCTTCCGGTTAGTCAGTTTATATTTTTGTAATGTTTTTTATTGATCAGTCGTTAAAAAAGAAGTAAGTTATCAGTTGGGTTTTACGTCGCACCAATACATTATAGGCCATATGTCGACTTTCCAGCTTAACTGGTGGAGGGAGACTTCAAGTGACCTTCTGTGCAATATTTCAGGCACAAACGAACCACCGACGTTCCGTAAGCTAACTTCCTCACTACCAAAAAAGTCTTAAGGGTATATAAAATTGCCATATCAACGATTTGGTTTATATAGAATTTATTTTAGTTCAATTGTATAGGAAGCTACTGGAACAAAGCAGTACTGAGCAAGTGTAAAGTTTCTTTCTCAACGAAACAACGACTTTCCCCTGACAGTTTTAAATGCCATTTTCTAAAAATTCATCACTTATTTTTATACAGTTATACAGTATCGTACTTTTTGTTTAATCTCGGTTTACAACATTTCTGATACACTCAATTTTAGTAAAAAATCTTCACTTCAATGATTTGGTTTTTGACCTGATCCTTCTAAACGTTATTATATTTTGCACGAATGTTGATTTGTTTGCTCTTGTTTGTTGATTGTGCTGTGCTCAATACTGGTGTATTAACCGTACTTCATCCTTACTGGTAAAACAAAAAAATAGGAATCTCTCAAGAAGGTCCAAAGCGGCAAAATTGAAAATATTGTAGGCTCGGTCTGACTGAGTCTGTTCATGGACGGTACTGTCAAGTGCAAACTACAGTAAATCTATTTCTGTTATTTTAATCTGTTATTTTTTGTCAAGACTGGCATAATTATTTTCTTCAGATACCAGAAAATTTACCGGAAGGTAGATATAAACTTAGAATTGTTGGACAAGGAGGCTTGACTTTTGAAAACTCTACAAGTCTTTCGTATGACGACAAAAGTCATTCGATCTTCATACAGACGGACAAAGCTATATACAAGCCTGGACAAACTGGTGAATATAATATATATGTCTTAAAGGCTGGAATATGAAATGTTTTATAATGTTTAGAAAAGCAGAGTAACGATGTAATTTATATGAAAATAAATAGAAAAGGTTAAATCGTTCGAAAGTTATGAACAATATTAAAAAGGTGAATATTCTAAACTTGATTTGCAGTGTGGGATGTTGCAATTTTTCATTATCACACATTAACAGATTCAAAAATTTCCATGTAATGTCGTTGCTTTTATTGCTTCCGATGGATCACCCTTTTCTCGAAATTTTTCATTGAATGTGCTCTCTGGAAATAATGATAAGGGTCACGCTCCTTGCACCGGTGTGAGAGCAGTATTTCATCTTCAACACTATTGTCACATTTTGAAAGGTATCGGAATGTCAACATTCTTGTCAATGACTAACTTTAAACGAAGTTTTCCAACATAAACACTCAATTCAAAAAGAAAATATTCAAGAAACAAACAGTTTGATCCTTCCTTGTATAAATTTACTTCCAGGATCATAAAATTGGGCTATATTTTCCGAGTTTATTTATCCTATTTAGGTAAAGTAACGGATCTAAACTGGGGAAAAAAAGGCAGAAATACACGTTTAAACTGATATTATGTGTATCTAAATAACGCACTTGTGTTTTAAATAGTATATATAAAGTAAGCATTTTGATCTACAAAATCAGTTTTCATTTGAATGCAAGTCCTTCTGTACTTCAGATAAATATGTAAATTATGCGGCTTTAGTTCATGGTATTTTTTATAAACACTGTCAGTTTAATCATCGCAGTAATATCATATCATATCAACTTTAGACAAATCTATCATAGGTTTTCAAATGGCCCTATTTTCTACTTATACTCTGTTACCGTCATGCACTTTTGACATTACCAACGTGACTTGCAAATCAATCATTTTAATTTCCATTATTCACTTTTTTCTATGCCGTAAGCATTTAAAGATCAGACAGTTTGAATAATATTTTTTCGGATGGCACATTTCTATTTGTTAAACATTTTCTTTGATCGCCGCTGAATAAGATTAACTCATTATCTAATTGTTCTTTTGTGGATAATTTGCAGCAATCGTTCAAGTCAGTTTTTTGTTTTACAAAAATGTATCTTAAAAAAGCTACTTTAAGCAAAATGCATCTTTTCTTCATCTATTTGAATTTATTTCGGAAATTAACTCGTTTGTAACTGTCAAGAAATTTTTTTATTAAAGGAGATGAATGATATTTAATTGTTTTTAAATTGTTTAACAAGTTTTAAAGGTAAGAGTTTAACGTTAGATACTAAAATCCACAATATATCAATCATGATGAAAAAGGAGTTTAACAAGTTTATTTATGTATACATGTATTTACAAAAAAATATTATAAAGAAATATTGTTTTTATCTCACTATAAACAAAATTGCCTGAAATACGTTTGAAATTATAAGCGAAAATCGTGATTTTCCTTCAATATATGTTCTAAATTTAGAATCTGACTAGTAAATCTATCTTCTTTTTTCAGTACATTTCAGAATATTTGGTGTGACCCCAGATCTCAAGGTCATTTTTGATAAGATGGATGTGGATATTTATGTAAGTACAGACGAATAATTCTTCATTTGAGCCGCGTCACGACAAAGTCAACATAATGGGTTTGCGACCAGCATGGATCCAAACCAGCCTGCGCGTCCGCGCAGTCTAATCAGGATTCATGCTGTTCGCTATCAGTTTCTCTACTTGTAATAGGATTGGTAAGCGAACAGCATGGATCCTGATCAGACTGCGCGGATGCGCAGGCTGGTCTGGATCCATGCTGGTCGCAAACCCATTATGTTGGTTTTGTCGTGACGCGGCTCATTTGTAATGTATGTGTAATGTATGTGTAACAAATATGCAGACAAGTTCAACTTGTAATGCATTACCTTTTTGAAAAAAAAGATGTATAGGTGGGGGTCATACCATGTCAATTAGTATGTTTGACTTAAAGTGAATTGACCTATATTGAAGGTCTGTAATACAACAAAAATACCTTTATTAGTATTAAGTATAAAGTATAGCAAGCGACGAAAGAATTAGATATGGATTTTGATGGCAAGTGTGAGATATACATGATACGATATTACATGTATAAATTTATATAGAAGATAATAAAATATTCTAGATCAAAATATTATCATTCAACATACATGTTTAAATGTCCATACTAAATAACTAAGAACTTTAACAATATTTTTTTGTAAAATCCCATATCTAAGTATAAAAAAGTCATTAAACACAACATTACGTTTATCTAAATCCTAAATTAAATTGTTTCATCGCAAATGATCATGTTCTTAATCAAATTCTGCAAGAAAGTTTCAAGACAATATTGCCGTAAAAATTTGTGTACATGTTTTATATATTTTTTTAAAATGAGCGAGTTTCTAATCTGCGGTATGCAGTGACTTTTTGTAATAGGTATGCAGTGTGTATTGGTAATATTGAAAGTCATTTCATGGTAATGAAATCACGAGAGCGTTATAAATGATATATCATCATAAGTTTTACTAATGCCTCGACTAATGACAACTAATATTATATGCATAATTTTTAAATTTTCGGCATTGCATTCGTATCTGTCTAATATTTTATAATTTGCGGATGATCTTGAAAAAAGTATATATCAATAATATATTATACAGTACACTTTTATTATTCAATTACGGTCAAAAATTAAAATTGTTCCGAGGAATAATTTTATTATTCATATAAATTTTCGGCATTAATTGCATTCATACCTGTCAAATATTTTGGATTTGCGGATAATCTTGAAGAAAAGTATTTCTTAATGATATGATTATGTAGTACACTACATATAATTCAATTGCGGTCAAAATTTAAACATTTTCCCAGGGATAATTTAATAATTCATTTGTTTTTTTTCTATCTCTTTGTTTCAGTACATTCATTATACAGTATATTCATCAAATGTGTTATAAAAAAGAAACAACATTGTTTTCGTGTTATTTGCGTCTTATATGCTCATTGGCCTGGATGTATGCCAGTGTTAGTTCACGTTTTGTACATTCATTGTTTTGTATGTTTACATATGACACATTCACACAATATTTATTTACTTACTTTACTTATATTTTCTTTCGAATGAAACACTTGCTCATGCCGATATAAACTTTAAACCTTGAGGATTGGCCGAGAGTAAACGATCTCACCCCTTCCCCACGTCTAATGGAAAATTAAAATGTCATACTAAAATAACAAATATGAATAACTTTTTTCCAGGATCCCCTAGGAAACAAGATCAACCAGTATGATATAACAGCAAAGGAGCTCCTGGAAAGTGGAGGCATTTTTGAAGCCGAGTTGCCCATGTCTGATGCCCCTGTGCTCGGAGATTGGAAAATTAAAGCATTACTTGGAGTAAGTTTTTTATTTCAAACGAACAGACTTATAACTTTATGTTTGATATCTGCTGATTACTAGTATCCGTACTTTTGTTTTTATTTTAGTAACATTTTTCCTTCGTAGAAATGTTGAAATGTATTGCCATTAAACAATAAAAAGAATGTGTTTTTTTTCTAATTTGTCTGGTTATCTAAATATATGAGCCGCGCCATGACAAAACCAACATAATGGGTTTGCGACCAGCATGGATCCAGACCATCCTGCGCATCCGAGCAGTCTGATCAGGATCCATGCTGTTCACTTACAAACCCTATTACAAGTAGAGAAACTGATAGCGAACAGCATGGATCCTGATCAGACTGCGCGGATGCGCAGGCTGGTCTGGATCCATGCTGGTCGCAAACCCATTATGTTGGTTTTGTCATGGCGCAGTTATATTTCATAGCCTTCAAATAATGTATTTATTTTATTCGTTATATCGTTATATTGAGCGTATTCAAAATTGTGAATATTACCTACTGATTAAAATAGCATGTGTAGCTTTAAACTTTTACGTTCCTATTTTCTTAACAGAATGAGAAAGTAGAAAAGTCATTCACTGTTGACGAGTACGGTAAGAATTTACTTTATATGTCATGTTGAAAACATTTTATCATAAAAACCTTGAATGAACAACTTAATTATAAATACCATCAACATCTTATATTTATGTGTTATTTTCATGGTCATATGACGTCATCTGTCTATGTGTTAATTAAATATAAGGTAGCACGCATTTGTAATTGAATTAAAGGCGAAAAACATGTAGAAAAACATGTGGAAACAGAAGGGGAATCGAAGATAGCGTATATTGAATGAGATTAAACGTTTCATTTCATAACTTGGATATTAACAAAAATTCAGACTATTTATTATTGTTTTTTGTCACTTTCAGTCTGCCTTTACTCCACTTAAAGGCATTATATGAATCGGAGATGAATAAATGTTTGTATTCATTACGAAGGGCAAACATGAGTTTATAATATTGAAATAATAGTTTTAGAGCATGCCTCATATCCTGATAAAAGTACCTTTGAATGTGAAATATATCATAAATGTAGCAAAATGTAAACAAAGTAGTATTTTGATTTCCACACAGAATGCTTAATCACTTCAACTGTACTAATTGCCGAAAAGCAGTAGAAACAAACTATGCTTCAGCTAATAGGCCAATGAGTAAATTTGTTGGAAACTATTACTCGACACCAAACATAAAAAACCTTTGAGAAATAATAATAACAGCATTTCTGGGTCATAAATGGGTCTTTACTTACCTTTAAAATATCATGAATGGTGTTTTATTTTCAGTTTTACCCAAGTTTGAAGTATCAGTTGACCTACCATCATATGGCAGAACTACTGATCCAGATTTTGAATTTAAGGTTACTGCAACGTAAGTACCATCTCTTCACTAAAAGCATTGAATTCGACTTATTCTCACTAGCATAATAGCATTGCTAAATATTTTGATCTCAATACTTTTTCACCGTACATTATTATTATTATTTCCGTTAACCGATGTTTGAAGTATCACTATAATTATAGTTATTTTCATTATGATGCATAGGATCATCATCACCGTCGTGGTCTTCTAAGTCCTTGTCTTTGTCGCCCTAACCATCATTATAATTATCATCATCACCATCATCATTTTTGTTAATGTCATCATAGTCACCATAGTCAGCATAATTATTATCATCACCATTATTATCATTATAGTGACTGTTATCATCATCATCATTATCATCATCATTATTGTCTTCATCATCATTATCATCATCTTCATTATTAGCATCATCATTATCATAGTCAACAAACACATCATCAACTTGTTAACATTTAAAGAATATTTAACTCAGAATTTAGAAATGTATAAATCCTATTTTAGATATACGTATGGAAAACCTGTGAAAGGAATAGCCGATGTTAGGATAAAACTCGAGTATCCTCGTTTTAATTGGATAAATGGTACAAGAGTGAAGGTCAGCAGTGAAGTGGAACTTCAGTCACCGGTAAATGCATAGACAAATCTAGTACCACCGTTAAAGGAGCATGTCTTAATTATTTGTAAATTCATTCAAATGGAAGGCGTTACTATTGTAAAGAAAACTTCAAATAGCAAAAGTAACGCAATTAGATTTTGACTTGTTGATTATGTAGCAGTTATGAACCGATTAATGAATAATGTGTTTGTGTGTATTATATGGTGAGAAACTAAGTAGTTTAAGTCAATAAGATGTTCATCTTCCTCTTATAAATCGATAAAACTTCATTTACAGATTGATGGTACGGCGACTTTCAGGGTACCGATGAAGCAATTAAAGTCGATCGACGAGTTTTTGGGGCGACGTTTTCTTGTATTTGAAGCCAACGTAACGGAAACCCTGACAGGATCTAAACTCTCATCAGACCCGGAGAAAGTACAGTTCTTTGACAAACCAATCAAGCTAGAGTTTCCTTCTTCTCTTCCAGATAACTTTAAACCAGGTCTTAACTACCTAGCGGTTGTAAGTAAATTCTATAATATATATTATCATTATATGAAGGCATATGCCAATTCTCGTATATATTGTTACAAATTTATGTTGAGTCCTGGATTTAAAAGATATATGCATGTTTTGTGTTTGTTCATAATCTAAATACAATGTTGCTTGCTACAAATTGCCATCAAAAGAATAAAAAAACAGCGGTCATTTTGTCATATAATATCAACTCACAGAGTTTGTTTTGTATCAAAAGACGAGTGGTACCTCGTAGTCAACCATTTGCCGTTTAATCGGAGGACACGTACGTAAATTTCCTTTGTTAGTTAATAACAGGTAAGTAGTTGAAAAAAAAACGTTAAGTCAAAGTATTTATAACCGTCAAGCTAAGAAAAATACGATTTAACTAAAAGATACATTTATTTCCAGTTGAAAGTTTCCGAGCAAGATGATACTCCGCCGACCATTAAAAACGGTAAAGTGTCTGTTAACGTGACTTACTACCGGCCTATTATTACTACCACGACAACAACCACTACCACCACCACCACCACAACTTCGCCTCTTATAATGAACGGTACAAATGGTATGTAAATAAAAATATTACTAAAATGGAATTAACTCTTTTAGATAGTATCTCCAAACATTCACTGCGATGTAAACTTGAACAGTTCAACAAACCATAAAAAAAACTCCCAAAGAAATGATGCAAATACGCAAATTGCGAAACCTTTCCATCTATAAAATCCTTATATATTAAACCTTGCAGCCTAATATATTTTACCACGCAGGAATTTATAAAATCACGGGGCGTCCGTCGGCAAGTGATTAAGTCGTTGACTTCTTACCGCTCTCCACTCACCTCTGTGGGTTCGGAATCCCGCAGGGACTTTGGATTCTTTCATGTGGGGAAGCGCTTAATCTAGCTTACGGAACGTCGATGTTTCTACTCAGGATGTGCCTGTTTCTGTCTTAAATAGTATACAGAGGGGCACCTGGGTCTTTTTCCGACATTTAAGCTGGAAAGTCACTGTATCGGTGTGACGTAAATTTAATCAACCAAAAATGTTATAGAATTAAATCATGCGGCCACGTAATTATTCATGTAGCCATGCATTAAATCCTGTAGTAACGCATCGCTTATTACATATACTTTTGATGTATAAAATCATGCAGTCTTGTATTAGATCATGAAGCAACGTAATTATTCATGTAGACATGCATTAAATCCTGCAGCAACGCATCGCTTATTACATACTTTGATGTATAAAATCATGCAGTCTTGTATTAAATCATGACGCAACGTATCAAATCCCATATTAATTTACACGACCCAGCATTCATGTATATCAGTAATGTATTAAATCATACAGAAACAGTACTAAATCATGCCGCTTTATATGAAATCATTAAGTACATTAGTAAAATTTCTTATAAACAGGTACTATGGTTAAAGAGCTTCAGATTTCACCAATGATTATCAGGCCGCCCGGAGGTTGGTGGTGGCCTAGAGAAAAAGAAGACAAACAGCCTGAAATGTTTTTCCCTATACCACTCGATGGTTTTATAGAGATCCCTATCAATATCCCACCTGAGGTTACACGAGTTGATATTGCGGTGAGTTATTGGTCAAAATATTATCTTTGAAATATACGGTTTTTATCAACTAGAAATTGTTTATCTAGTTCGTTTTTTAATCTAAACGAAACTGTTTAGTTTGTTCAAAACATTTTCAGAATCTATCTTAACTGTATAGATATCTCCCGTCTAAATTTTCCAGTAACTTCATGATTTTTTTTATTTTATTGCATAACGGTAACATTTTCTAGTTGGAATATATTTATAATTCATCATAGCGTACAAACATCAAGATACTTTGGATTCTTTTATACGAATAAGCTAACCAGATATGTTACGGAATGTCGATGCATAGTAAATCCGGAAAAGTTTAAATAATGCGCGTTGGGGCACCTGAGGTTTTCTTCGACCAGAAAGCTAAACAATGCCTCTGTTATGACTTCACATGTTTCGTTACTGTCACTCTGATATTGTTTTTAACTGCGTGTGTTTAATAAGCTTCTCAATTACTAAGGCCAATTTGTCATTTCACACAGTGCTTTAGACGCTTAATGTTAGCCAAACTCATCTTTCCTGTTTCAGCGCCATATGACCCAAATTGTGTTGGTGCGCCGTAAAGCCAAACAAATAAACCACTTTCAAAGTAAATAGTTGAGTGTAAATCATTGCCCAGGTTCTATCTGTTGGCCTACTAAACTCTCGTCTTGATGTCCCAACTTGATGAAGGAAAGGTTCACAAATTTATATTAAGGTTCATTACAGAAGTTCATAAGGTTGAGGGCTAAATACGGAGATTGACGAAAATAACTGAATACATAGTTACAGTCATATTGATGCATGAAAAACCATTATAGCGTATTTTGTCTTACAGGCTGAACATGATGGTGTTAAAGCTCACAAAAATGTTAGAAAATCAAATTCTCCCAGTGACAGCTTTATGCAACTTAGATTACTCTCAGATAACTTGAAGGTAAGTGTTATGCAAACATAAATAATAAAATGATAACATTTCTAAATCTAATTTTCATTTATTCAAGTTAGTTTTATGCAGAAAAGTGAAGATCGCATTATATCAATTGCTTTTTAGAATAGAATCATGAAAATGATTATTTTTTCCACAAATTATGTTCAAATGCAAATATATTGTCCGTATCTGTTCCGAAGTCTTTTGTAAAATATAATTTTATAAGTTATAGAGTTTAGTCATTTTCAAATTCATAGCTCATAGCTAATTGGTAACTCACATCAGCTCATAAACGTTTTGTGAAATCGTATGCAATTCACGGCAAGTCTGAAAATACATATGTTTCTGTAAACAATAATAGAGAAAATATAAAACACTTAATAATCTGTTAACAATAATAATCTGTTAACAATAGTAGCAAACAGAAAACTTCTTTAACAAATAAATTGCATAATAGATAATAAATGTTTCAGTCTAATTTATTTTATAGGCAGGTGATACAGCAGGTATTCAAATTCGTTCCACTGATCCATCTCAGAAAAACGCAGCGTATCAGGTAGTTTATCTTGCAGTACATCATAGTATCTTCAAGTCCTTGTATTTGGAAATAATTACTTTAATGATGAAGATATAAAAAGAAACTGTTATTGTGCAAGAGTTCACTATTGTTCAAATATATAGTTTCAGGCAATGTGCACTTGCAATATTTTCATTTTTGGGCAAATAAAGAACTTGTTGAATCGTATACAACTATATTTGCATGCCACTATATTATTTTCTTTTTCACAGTATTTTCTTTCAATGTTTTGCAATTACACCTTCCTTTCTCTATAATTGTCTAGAATTTTAGCATTTGAAATATATGTTTCTTATTGTTAGATCGCAAACTCTCGATTTAAAACAAACCTTTTTATTCACTGTACAGGTTTTGTCAAAAGGAAAGAGCGTTGCGTCTGGTAACGTTGATCTAACACCAGGGATATTAAATTTCCCTGTCACGGCAGATATGGCACCTAAAGCTAAACTTATGCTGTACTACGTCCGACCCGATGGTGAAGTCGTCGCTGATGGGCTTAGCTTTAATGTTGATGGCATTTTTGAAAATCGGGTATGTAGTATTTTATGCATGAAATTTAAGAATAAGCCCATACTTTCTTTACTGATACCTCATACGTTTCATTGAGATTCCGATTTAAAAAATAAAGCAGTTCTTAAATGTATATTTTGAGTAATGTAGAGCATTTTAAAGAAATATTCGATTCATGAATTCGTCTTTTTCACTCGCACGTGTAACTGCAGTGTTAACAATTAATCGTTTTCTAGGTGAATATCAGCTTCGACTCGCCTAAAGTCCGGCCTGCCGATAAAATCAGGTTGACGGTTAATGCAGATCCTGGATCAAAGGTTAATGTGCTGGCCGTTGACAAGAGTGTACTCCTTCTGAAATCTGGAAACGATGTAACAAAAGATGACGTCACAAAAGAATTGCAAAAGTATGATACAAATGGTGGCGGTCACTTCCCATGTGATTGGTTTTGTTGGAGATGGCCAATGCCAGCTCGTGGCGACGACGCCCATGATGTATTCAATGTAAGTTTAAGTTGAAGAATTTCGTATTTTAAAAATATTCAATCTGTATTCAATATAGGTCTATCTGTTATATAGTTCATTTAGATGTTATAACAAACGTTTAAATATAATGTGAAAAAACATTTGAAAATAGAAAATAATAATGATTTGATACTGCCATTATGCCCATCTAAGTGAAAATGGTGACTGCACAGGTAAAGTTTCAGAACACTTTACATCTTGTCATAATTCTTATGAAATTTGTATTCTACTTATAAACTACGCGACCCTTGGAAAATTCTATAAATATCGTTCAGAATTTGTAATGTTCAATTGATACAAAATGTGGGGCAATCTTTTATATTTTAGGCAGTTTTAATATTTTATTCTAACTATTTTTATTATAATGGTCAATGGCCATTATAATAGTAAATCTTTAGAAATTTAAAGTAAATTAAGCTGTAACCGACAACGAAAGAATGAACATAATGTCACTTTAGCTTGAAGTAGAGGACCTGAGAGATATTGAAAAAGACCGTTTTGGGATCTCCACTTTTCCAGAATTGTTGTTAACTTTTTTCATTTCATTAACAGAATGCTGGATTGGCCTACATTACCGATGCTCTTGTATATGACCATCAAGAACGTAAGTCAGAGTATTTTGTTAATCAATTAGTATAAATGAACTTTGAAACGTAAATGACGGCTATACTATTGGCGTTGATCCTTTGAAGCAAAATATTGATAACTTGTGTAACGCTGGAATGTTGGGTTTTAAATTTTAAAATTAAAAAAAATACTGAAATTTGAAACCATTTTTTATTTAAGAAAACCCTTTTTGGGGGAAAAATTTTCTTTTTTTTTTAAATTTTTTTAAAAAGCCCTCCTTTGGGCTGCTTGCCCATTCCTTTTTCATTGGAAACCAATTAGTTAATTTAGCAAAAATTCATACATTATTAAATTATTTTTTTCGAAAGAAATATTCTTTTTTTGAAATTGACGACAATATAAAAGCTTTCATTGCAAAAAAGAAAATTTAAATTTTTAAAACAAAGAAAAATATGTGAATTTTTTACGTTTGTATTTTGATATGTGTTTCATTTTTCAATTTTACGCCATACATGTATATATTTGAAACTTTTTTTTTTCCTTTTTTTAATATTTTTCAGCATTGTGTAGTATGATTCCAGTATAATTCAACCTAGTTATATCGGAAAACCATATACCAGTATATCTTAATCATGTTTATATTTGGGCATATCTATCATTGTGTCTTAGCGTGGTCTGGTCCGATGCCAATGATGATGGCTCGTGGTGGTGGTTTTGGAGGAAGGGTTGCTTTTGCAGCCGCAGGTGCAGGTCCAGCCCCTGCTCCGGAGATGAAGCAATTTAAAAAAGCTACACGAGTTAGAAAACTGTTTCCAGAGACTTGGATGTGGCGGTCACAATATTCCCCGTATGTTTGTTGGTCCATGCTTCTGTTTGTTCTGTCGTGATCATCAATATCTTGTACCAATTGGTTGCTGTTGTTTCCCGCTCATTTTCATTCACTTTGTGTTCCCAAACCCCATTGTTATCTTGCACTCTCTTATGTTATTCCCACAAAATTTTTTTCCAAATTTCTTTTTAATTGAAGAAATTGTTTAAATTTGGGGGAAAAGTGTATATCTATTTCGACGGGGATTATGTTGTTTTTACATGAGGCTGGAAAAAGGTATCCAAAAGGGAAATTCAAAAAATTCCCTTTTAATGTTGCGTAGTAAATCGGTTTGCAACAAATTGGGGTTTTAAAATTTGCTAAGCCCAAAAAAGGGGGTCCGGGAAAAAGTAATTCCCCCGGAAACTTTGGGTTTGGAAAATAAACAAAAAAGCTTGTACGTTTTTTTTCATATAAAAGTAACCCATTTTTTGTCACGAAAAATGTAAATGATCTTTGTATACCTAAAATTCAAAGAAAAAATCTAAAAGAAATTTTTAATTTGGTGTTTTGGGCCCATTTTAACATTTTTAAATTTGGGCATTGTAAAAAGGTAAAAACTTTTAATTATTTCCTTTTATTGAAAGAAAAGAATAATCAAAAAAAAATTTCATTAGTTTTATTTTGAAAGAAATTTTGGTACATTTAAAGATATAAGTAAAATTTTGTAGGTTTTAAATTTTGGGGGTACAGAAATAAATGGAACATTTTGTTTTTTGGAAGACACTGGGGCCGGGGACCCCAATAAAATCGTGGATCGCCCAATTTCCCCGTTCAGGGGTGGGGAAATAATTTGGGTTTTTTGGAAATTAAAAGAATCTTTCAGCAAAGGAAACCTTTAGTTTTTAAAAGCAGCCATTTTGACTAAAGTAAAGGGAGAGTGAAAATTTGTATGAATTAAAATCTTTGGGTTTTAAAAACATCTAGTTTTGGTTTCAAAGAACGAGTTTTAGATCTTTGTGTTTTGGTAAATTTCAAATTTATGCTTTTCGTGTACATGTACATGTATTTTTTTTATTATATTTGGTTTTATTACTAGTTTATTGGTAACTACTATTAAAAATGATTTGAATTATTGACAAGTTTCTTTAATTTGAATTACATATACGATATGCAGGTTTTAGGTACAAACGTCTCATATGAAAGTAGTTGTTTAACTGAAATTACAGTATGCTATGAATACGCTCATTGTTACTACTTATTTTTTTATGTTTACAGTTAACAACCTTCATGCCGTTTTTCGTGAGCCTTCATATGCCATATTCCGTTGTACGAGGTGAAAAAGTTATACTACAAGCAAATATCTTCAATTACAGTCCTTTCCGAATATTCGTAAGTTAACACTTAAAACGACTTTATGCTAGATCCCTAATAATTGTTAAAATTCTTAAAGAGTTAGACAATGGAATGAAATTAATCTACATTTTGTTAAGCACGGAAACAACATGCCAAAAATGTTTGGTGGTTAAAAATATTGTTATTTAAATAAAAGGTCAGAGTAGGGATCTATCAATTGGTTCAAGAACTCTTCGAGTAAAAACCAGCAACTTAGATGGTGAACTAGTGAATAATAATGAAAGTACGTACTTAAAATACTTACTTTCAAAATTAAGCCGGAGCTGTAGGGTGAATTTTGGTAGAGAGATATTTGGGGTTGGCATAGATTCTTATAAGTATTTTAATATAGCTTTCAAATTATACGTAATGTTCTAAATTTGACCCTTTTTTTTTTTTTGGTTTATCTGGCAATAAGGGGTGATTTCCACGCTTTGAAAATTTTTTCGCAATGACATTGAATTTGAAGCTTTAATCTTTAAAATTTCTTTTTTCTGTTTATCTAACAAATTAAAATATTTATAAATAAATATAAATATAGTAAATTTTTTATTAATAAATAATTTCCTTTCAGAGCATAATTTAGACTTTTGCGCTACAAAGAAAAACCTCCAAAGGATTAGATAATTATCATAAAATCGTGGTGGAAAAAGCTTAAATATTTCAGCAATGTTAGGATTGAGAGAGATTTTGGGGTGAAGGTATTTAAGATTTGAGAATGATTGCACAAAAATTTTAAAAAAAAGGGTTTGGGGAAAAGGGGCCCAAATTTTTTATATTTCCCTTTTTAAAAAATTTCCGGGTAGGGGCACGTTTTTTTTACCCCTTTAACAGTCCTATTTTTTTAAAATTTTTTCGTCAGTTAATTTTAATTTTGAAATATTAAATGTTTAAAGAAATAAAAACCCTTTAAATTTCAAAGTGTTTTTTTATTTTGGGATAATAAAATTTAATAATGTAATAATTTGTCATTTTATAAAAAATGATTAAGACAACCCCAACATTAAAAATAATGAAATTAATCTATAGTCTATGTTTCAATTATTACACACATAAGCCAATTTATTTACAGCAAATTAATTACCGAAATACGAAAGGGCCCATAGCAGTTAGCATTCTAATGCATTTGCTTTAAAACACTTTTAAAAAATATTAATAGTTTATTGTATTTAATAAAATTTTGTATGAATTTATCAAAGACTTATTCGATCTTGTTCTTAGATTGAGCCAAATGGTGCCGCAGCTGTGTATTTCCCGATCATTCCTAAGAAGATTGGACATATCAAAATTCAAGCTCATGCGCAATCTTTATATGCTGCTGATGCCATTGAAAAACAACTTCTTGTAAAGGTAAATATCAAAATATTGACGGCGGATTAGTCCGTAGAATATCTTATATCCAACTGCACATTAAAAGGTTTGGGCAGGTCAAAATTCAATCTCATGCTCATTCTTAATATGCTAAAGATGCCAGTGAAAAACAAGTTGTACAGGTTATAAGTGTCAAAAAAATTGGTGGAGGACTAGTCCTTGGAATATTTTATTAATCAATCTACACATTCATCTGCGGTAACACAATGCTACCGATACATTGAATGGCGTGTTTAGATACTTTAAATATAATCGGGGAAAATTCTCTTATCATCATATCAGTAAATCATCCTAAAATTAACACATCTTGTGATTATACAAAGTTGTTGATGCCGACGAAAAACAAGCTGTAAATTGCAAACGTATTGTCGGCGAAGAGGCGATTTCGATTATTCATGTTATTTTCACGTATATGCAAGAATGACACGCAATAATTGGAAAATGCAACAATTGACTAATTGTTTGATATCATAAAGTCGTTATCATATAAAAGTCTTTATTATCAATGTTTCTCGATAGTGATCAAGTATAAAATCTTACAAAGCAAGTTAACTTCGTGTTTTCATCGAATGTATGGCATATATATACTTTGTAAACTCTTATTCTTTGTTCAATATCTAATATTTTCCGCTTATATCTGTTTAGCCTGAAGGTACGCCACATGAATACAACATCCCAACTTTAATCAACCTGAAGCAGACCCCAGATTTCAGCACCGTAATTCCAATATCATTCCCGGCTGCCACTGTGCCTGGATCTGAACGTGTCATAGTCACTGTTGTTGGTAAGCATAAAACATATATCAAATGTTGTGTGGGTTTTTTGTAATCAACATAAAAATGAATATATAAAATAAGCAACATAATATAAATCTATATTATTCATTTTAAACCATTTTATATAACTCATAATAAATTATTTATTGAAATAAGGAAACATGTGCAGGTATTGCTTTTTAGATTCTACACTAGCAACATGTCAAAATTTGATTGTTTCGTTGTCATGCAAATTGAGTTATATACCAATTCTTAACAACACACCTCAGGAACATAGAGAGTTTTTAGTATTCTAAAGTAGAAAAATGCTAGGCATGCAAAATTGTGTCTAAAATAGAGAAAACATAATTCCTAAAGATCGCCAAAAACGGCAAAAATGAAGAATTTTACAGACTGGGTTTGATTGGTTCATGCAGGCAACCGTCCATGTCCCCTAGCACAGGGTTACGTAGCAGTATTTGGTCCCTAAGTAAAGGAATGTGAAAGAAAGTAAAATATAACCATTTAAACAATTTCAGGAGATCTGATGGGACCTAGCATCAATGGATTGGACTCTCTCCTGAAAATGCCTTATGGTTGTGGAGAACAAAACATGCTTAATTTTGCTCCAAACATCTTCATTACTGAATACCTCGAAGCTACAAACAACTTAGACATGGGAACATTTGAAAAATCTAAAAACTTCATGATAAAAGGTAAATTACTTGATTTGATCTGAATTCTCTCTAGAAAATTAGCTCAGTGACATTCTAGAGTGTCTGTAATTTTTGAATATTAATATTGTTATCAGCATCATCATCATTCTTATTATTATAATTTTGTTTGTAGACTTTCTTTGTTTCTAGTCTTTTAAAACGTAATGGTAGTACATAATTAAATGAGGCATTAAAGTTTTACATTGCCGTGCGTATAAGATTTACATTAATGGCATTCTGCATGTAAAGAACAGATATTTACTATTTTATTAGGTTTTCTGTTATAATTCTTATTGCATATGAATGGCTGTTTATTTTAATTTTGTGTTTTTAACTTTAGGTTATCAGCGTGAGTTGACGTATCAGCATGGGGATGGATCATTCAGTGCCTTTGGAAAGAATGACGATTCTGGAAGCATGTGGTAGGCTCTTTGTTCTGTATATATTATCGCATTAAAATGGAGTATTATCTTGTCACAGTATATTAATATTTCTAAAGATGTTTTACTATTTTTATTTGCAATCCTTTATGGTAGGAAATAAAAGGGATATTTTGAAAACTTTATTTTTATTCTACATATATCCTATGTATTTATTTCTTAACATACAGTTGCATTGATTATATAAGTGATTTTAAAGACAGAATGCTATGAAAAATATACCACGACCAAAAATAAATCAAATCTATAATTTAAATTCAACATATTTGCTCGATATTGTTCATAGCCCATTGTATATTTAAATCGATTATGATGTTTCATATATTTCAGGTTGTCTGCATTTGTCTTGAAATCATTTGTACAGGCAAAGCCATACATTTTTGTTGATGATGAAGTCATTAAGAAAACTGTTTCATGGATCATTAAAAATCAAAATACTAACGGCACGTTCAAGGAACCCGGTCGCGTTCTTCATAAGGAAATGCAGGTACTGTATTCATATGACATATTTATTGTTATATATTTATATGACAGCTGTAATAACGAATAATAAACAAAGTACGGGACTATGTCTAAAACAAGAAACGCCGTCATACAAAATATTTTTTATTAATTTATATAGCTTTGATTATTACAATTGTTATATGGTGCTAGATCTGTGTTGACGCATAAATTTCAAAAACATGTGGAAGGAATAATTAAGACCATAGAAAAGTTTATTGTTAAATTTGTTTGGCAATTATTTTGATACAATTTGCTTACTGGCAGAGTATTTACGAACATGGGTTAAATTCTGAATGTTGAATTCTGCTTAAGCCGGTACTAGGGGCGTGGACGGTCACTTGCACTTTTCAGTACCGTCCATGGACAGGCTCAATCAAACTGAGCCTTCAACAGTTTCAATATTGTCGGTTTGGGTGTTCTTTTAAAGATTCTATTTTTCTCTATTTTAAGTGATTATTTACGTTGCTCTTTTACGATTAATAGTGAAAATCAGTCAGTTTGGAGAGCACATTGTCCAGCAATTTAAAAGGAATGAGTAGATTTAGTGAATAAGTAGTCGTGATTTGTCTCTTTATTTATAGAAATCATATTATCATATTTCAGGGAGGATCAACAGCCGGCGAACGTTCTCTTACTGCTTTTGTACTAGCTGCATTGTTGGAAGCTCGTGTTGTAGAAGGGGTGAGTATTCCTGTTAAAACTATTATCTTCCAGTCTCAAAGATGGTTAATATATACAAGAAAGTAATGAAATTATTTGCTATGGTCAACTGAGAATGTTTCTGCTGAAAAGCCAAACTTTGCTAGGTTATTTGAAAAATAAAGAACATGTATTATAATATTTTGAAAGTCTAGGATAGATATTTACTTGTATAAAGACGCAATATTCAGTGGAAAAAAAAACGTAAATCCCCGAGATAATTAAAGAAATAAATTAAACCGTATTTTGCAAACGTGTAAGGAAACAAATATATGTATACAAAATAAGTTGTTCCATATCAAAATCTATCTATTTAGGTCGACAGTCAAATAAATAACAGCGTCGCCTTGGCAATGCGCTTTTTGGAAGATCAGTTACCGTTGACAACAGACGTATATGAACTGGCAATTATTGCTTATGTCCTAAACCTGGGCGGAAGTCCTCGTGCAAGAGAAGCGCTTGATAAACTACAGGCTTTAAGTACAACAGAAGGTATTTATTTTCGATTAATAATATTAATAATAATTATTATAATAATACATTTTGTCTAAATTTTATTATTATTTCTAATAAAATAACTATGACGAACTTCACTACTCAGTATTCAGCTTGTCTCTTCGCCTTCTTAAAACTGAATGGTTTATTCGTTTTAGTTTCGATAACTAAAAGATTTATCTACATGCAAATGTATATTATTAGCATTAGATCACAATGAAATAGATACGAATATTAATTATATCAGTTGTTTTATTAAGTACAACTGACCCATAGACATGAGCATTATTTGAAACCATACACTTTAAAACGACATTAATGAGTCATATAAAGTACAAATACTTGAAAAAGATTTACCTATTGGTATTTAAGGTGGAATGAAATACTGGAAGAAAGTGAATGCAGTGCCTAACCCAGATATGAACCCATGGGAGAAGGATAAGGGGAAAGCCCTGAATGTTGAATTGACCGCCTATGCCATGTTGGCCCTTACCGCTGCCAATAACCAAGATGACAGCCTTCAGGTTCTAAAATGGCTCACCAGTCAGCGAAATCCAAATGGTGGCTATGCTTCAACGCAGGTAAGTCCTTAGTCTGTTCAATTATCCGTTTCATAATTGTTACTGTTGATACTTGGCCCTTTCGTGAAGTTATACTTCATCGGCATTAATTTCTATTAATCATTCCATATTATTGACTTTTTATCAGAAGAATGATGCACTTCATATATTTGATGATTCTATTACAATATACTTTTTGCTATGTGTAATTATAATGAATTAGTCAACAAAGATAATCATTGCATCATTGCATGAATTTGCTGTCGAATTCGAAAATACATAACATGAATATGGATGTTGACTAACATTTTGTAAAGTATAAATTTTCCATATAACATTATCTTTTTTCTTTATCTGCACGAACACAAATTTATATAAAACCGGTGTTTATGTAAAAATGGAATCTACATATAGTTTTGCATCACGTTTACATCGTGCGACGTAATAAATCAATTGAAGTTTTTCCGGTACATGTTAATATTCTAAAGACTTGTTTGTAAAATATATCTTTCTTTTTCTTCATAAATTCTTTTTATCTTTTAGGATACAATAGTTGCCCTGCAAGCCCTAGCAAAGACCGCGGCTAAAGTATATTCAAAGGACTTTAACGCCAGTGTCAGTGTTACAGGATCACCTGGGTCCAATCTCCGGGAACAGTTTACTGTAACTAATGACAATGCATTAGTGCTACAAAGCCGTGAGGTATGTTCTTTTCCCTTAACATTATAATTTTTTTGTAACAAATACTATGAAATTAAAATTTGAATTTAAGACATTGAAACAGAAGCTTCATTTCAAACGTTAGTGTAATCCATACAGTTTTATTTCTCTTTTAAGTAACATTTATAAAATAACCATATGTAAGCTTTCTAACTCAATACATAAGTCTTCTATGATTAAGGCATTGTTATGACAAAAATATCACTAATCTTATGAATAATAATGATCTCGGTTGATAAAAGTTTGAATATTTCATTGTCAATCTGAACATGTTTTATATTATTCATGAAACTTATCTTTCCGGCATTCTATTGCTTTGGCATGATCATAATAACAAATATATTGACAAAAACATAGAATTATTTATAAAAGTCCAATGTTATCTATACTACTTGTTATGTCAAGTAAAAGGGGCGGCGCCACAATTATTCTTTGTCTTTTACTAAAATCTATATTAATTTACTGAATGTATATTGATAATAGGTATACAATTATAAATGTCATACTTTCAGCTTCCAGTCAATATATCAGAAGTTAACATAAATGCTGTTGGCACAGGTCTGGCATTAGTCGAGGTAGGTCTATCATCAAAACTTTGCATTAATCCTAATTTTTGTGCGTGTCGATCTTTGTATGGTACTTTCCAAGATTGTATGGCGTCATGTGCAATATGTATGAGTATTTACTCCTGCTCATAAAAGTCTGGAACTATTTCTTCCATTGAATTGAAACCATAACTTTCATCTCATTTGAATATCTTTCAAGTGCCACACTAAAGGTTGTTTCTATTGCTGCATTCAAACTTATTCCAGTATAAAGAAATTGAGAATGATTACATTATTTATATAGTAAATGGTGAGATGCATTATACTTAACTATACTTGGCATAAGTGAAACTTTAAATTCCAATATAGTATTACAATATACATGTATACATTTTCTTTTCTTTTCACAGGTTTCTGTCTTCTACCATATCGACCGTGATGACGATACGCCAAGTTTTTACTTAAAAATTACTATTCCAGAGGAAAATACGAACTTCTTTATAGTTGAAGCTTGTACAAGGTACGTTTATGTTCACTGAATTATTTAGTTTTTGAAAACTTAAACAAAACTATGCATGTGCCGGGTCTTTCAAATATTGTTTTTAAATGTTCCTGGCCAGTGGAAAACATATGCGTAATTATAACTGTTACGTATTGTCTTTGTGTTTTTGTTGTTGTTGTTGTTTGTTTGTTTGTTCTTTTTTTTTAAAGAAAAATGTTGTAATTATTTACTTATAACTAATAATATTGACTGCAATTAGTAATAAGTAGAATAAAGATAATAATAATAATTTTCTTCTTTTAACAAGCATATATCTGAAAGTTTCCAACAAGATATTGTCGCATTCCGTTGGTATGGCATATGATCCAGCATAAAGATAATTCGATTCTTTTGATACAATCATAATTTTTTATTCTGTTTCTTTCCTTGTTACATTTATTGAAATAATTATGTTTGATATTGACAGTTATCTAAAGGAAGGTGCAGCTGGTATGTCTGTGATAGAGATTGGGTACCCATCCGGTTTTACTGCAGATAAAGATGGTATTACAAAACATAAATTGCTTAAACGTGTTGAAGATGGTGATAAAAAGGTTATCCTATATCTAGACGAGGTATTTCTTTTTGTGTTCTTTTTTTAAGGCTTGTCTTTTTTATAATTGCTTTTTTGTGACATTTTTAGAGAATTGAGTTAAAATTTATAATGTACAAAGGTGTTTTGATAGACATTTTGTTTTGCCTTGCAAGATAAAATGGTAAATGCAATGTAACTTACCTTCTTGGCATTTTAAGTTAAATAAATCAGTGGCATTGTCATTACAGATTATTTCATTACACAGATAAATTACTATATACTTTAAAGAACCATTTTGTAGATCATGTTAGGGGGGAAAAATGTTTTAATAAGTATAAGTAAATGTATCTACTTTCGTTCAATTATCAGTATTTGAATGGTAATAATGATGCTGATAATACCTTGTGTTACAGATAGGGAAGAATGAAATGTGTTTCCGGGTACCTATGGAAAGGTCAGACCTTGTTGCAGGAGCCCAACCTGTCCCAGTGAAAGTTTACGATTATTATGAGCCAAGTAAGTCAAATTTTAACATCAGATCTTATCTTGCCATCTGGTAACTAGTATTTAATACACAGTGGCAAATTATTATTTTAGAAATAACATTATGTAACAAAGCATCATTATTAAGTAAGCTGCATTGTTCCGATGTTTAGAAAACTGTTTAGAAGTTTTCGTCCTGGTATGCTTTGACCAAGACTTACGCACCTGTTTGTTCTAATGATTAATATCGCTACAGTTTGGGTGTCGTAGAGTTTTCATCTGAAATGTTTCTATTTATGCACAGTGATGAGTACAATTTTTGCATTCAGCTAATAATGTTTTGTTTCTTTAACAGCGGACCAAGTGACTTCATTCTACGTTCCGGAAGCAATACGTACGTCAGATGTTTGTGATATATGTGGTAAATCATGTGACTTCTGCCAGGAAACGAGAAGGCCATGGGTAAATTTGATTTCTTGACGAGCATTATTTGTACAAAGAAATGAATTACTATAGTCATTTGATTTGATTGTTTAATTGATTTATGCGTCAAAGGCATATGTATGGAATACATTATCTTCTATATGAGTTATTATATAGTTTTAGACTATAAAGTTTTGCCCTTTCAATGAAGTATTGCTGATTTTACAATTAAAGAAGCTTGAATAAGTAGTTTGTTAGTAAGTCTCGCATTACCATATTTAGCATTGTTAAAGATGACGTACATAAAAATTTATTTATTTTTGATTTCAGTGGAAACCATGAGTAGATCATCATCTTAGATGACGTCATTTTTCCAGTTTGCCATAGTCGACTACGTGTAAAAGTGAACAAACACTAACAGTGTTTCTACTTTGCAACACATTCCGTGTATTTCAAGTGTCATATATGTACTATATCCAAAGATGGAGAAATCAATAATAATAAAGAAATTTATTCTATGCTCATAATGTATTATATATAGTGTATATTACTTACCAAATAAATACTCATTTCGTACTTGTAGTTTGTTTTGTCTGAGCTATTCTTGAGGGTCGTGATTCAAATCATTGTTAAATGATTGAAATCTTAATCGACTTAATCACTTCATTGTTGATTAAAACACGTTTAAGAGTTGAAAACTGAGTACCGCTCAAGTCGGTGCTAGGGGGTGTGAGGAATGTTACACTATTTCATTATCCCTCATGGGTAGACTCAATCAAACCAAACTTAGTCTACAATGCAATGTAATTTTGTTGCAGATATTTATTGTATGAGTACATAAAGAGAATGATCTGCGACGAAAAGTAATCACAGTCAATGTAAATCCCACAAGTATCACTTGAAAACGAGCATATATTTTGTTGTAGGCAGGAAAGGATTAAGAAAATTATCAAAGTCAAGTCAAAGTCAATTAAATATCAAATTGTATTGGCAAAAACAAATACGTGTTCATCGCTAAAGTCCCGTGGGGGATATAACATATTTACATTACATAAGAAAAGAATGGCAAATATATTTTATAAAACTACTTCAAAAAATATCAAAATGCAAATATTAAAATCTGAAGGAAACATATGTGATCCCTGGGAAGCACTAATCACAATATTGCAGACTCGGTTTGATTGAGTCTGTACATGAGGGGTAATGAAAAGTGCAACATCCCTAAAGCCCTCTAGCACCGGCTTAAGCGATACTCAATTTTCAACACTTAAAAGTGTTGAAATCAATGATCCCGAAGGACAAGAAAATATTAAAATAACATGACATGGCACTTGACACTTGAGTCACAGAAGTATATAAATCTAGTTAATAATAGAAACAATTACCTACGTATATATAATTAACTGTTTGGGTTTCTCTTATACAAAGCTAACACAAATATATGAGAAACATATTTAAAACAAAATTAATGCGAATGTTGAAAAGATTCTTTTTGATTACGTATACATGCTGAAAATTGCCACAGTGTTTTAATGGCCGGTCTCTTCCCATGATTATGACACGTTTTGTGATATTAGCAGCCACATAAGCATGTGCATTTTGGATTGTAACTATACATATATAACAACCTCCGAAGATTTCATAAGTAATTTCATTACCAAGTAAACATTTTACATGGTCATTAATAAGTGTCAGAACTTGGACGTTACAGATATATACTGAGTGTACACACTTTTCTAAGTAGTTCATATTAATTATTATAATTATTGAGGTGATCCTATATACTAAAAAAGTTTGTTTAGATATAGATTATATTTGTTTAGATAGGTTATATTGCAAACAGGACATATATATAGTGTTATACAATACTTTTATGACTGCATGAGGAATCATTAAAGGAACTCCACTAAGGTTCAAAAGCCTAAATTTAAGTATAAAATTTGAAATTTCTTACATTGATCAGCTTGAGCACTTAAGCGTTGCAACGCTTTTTTAATTTTGGGTAGTTTGGCAAATTAGAATAATTGTTCTGGAACAATGGAGAGAGCAAATGATCTGAAATTTTGCGCACAAGTTATTGCCTAGATGTACATCAAATGGAACATTAATTAATCTCTAGAAATTATTTCCTGTCTCGTCATGTCAAGAAACCTCATTGGTGTCCCTTTAAGTTATATTTAATGGAACAAATTGACTAAACTAATATGCTAATTAGCAATAAAAATTTATTTTTGATATGTTGATTTGGAAAATGATTTACATTAAATACTGCATCTAATTCATTCAAAAGAATAAGATGTCTTTATCATCTGTATACATGTACATGCATATATGTTAAACACAAATCGGACAGTCACTTTATGTTTTGGAAGAAAATGTAGGTACATGTATATTGTTAATCAGATCTATACCTTGTACACACTTAAAGAATCAAATGAGTGTATACATGTATGTACAAAGTATATCAATTTAATGCCTTTGCAGAACTTTATAGCATAATTGCTTGAAGAAAAAAATAAAGTTGTTGAATATCTGATGGAAGCAAAACTCCTTTAAAAAATATTTCAAAATTGTCAACAAATAAAGTTTATTTCTCTTTTGGATGAAAGAAAAAGATAAACTAAAATGAAAGAAAATAATTTATTTTAGACTCTATATCCAATCAGTATGACGACAACAATATTTCACTATATTCATTCGCTAATAATTTATCGATGTAAACATTCCCAGTCAAAAAGTAGAACAAAAATTTGTTACATGTACATGCATACTGTCCTAGAAATCAAGCAATTAGTACAGTTAGCGTGAGATATATCAGAAACGATCAGTGCATTTTGATTCACGATGAGTGCTTCTAAACGAGTTGCAGTCGTAAGTTACTTGTCATTTCTTTAAAATTCCGTAAATTTCCATCATGTTTTGAACTAAATTTTACTCTAAATTATGTGTTTGATTTATTTATCATTTTAGTTACTAAACTCTACATCATGTACTTTCATAATTTATCATGCCGTGTTATCTGAGACCTCTTATTTAAATCAGTACTGTAGTGACGTTATCAGATTCTGTAATATTGACATTGCAAATGCCATCATCAAACTTGTGTGTGTTTTTTAATGTCTTAGTTTTAATTTTTGTCTACTTTTATAGTTTCTTAAATATAACTCATTTGCCACTTTTCAAGTAACATAGCTATAGAGGATATTGAATGAGTGTAAGTTTAATACTGAATTTATTGAACAAGTTGAATAAAATTATAATATGCGAGCCTCTGGCAAGCATAATATTATTTTATTCAATGAGTTTAATAAATTTTGAAATGAACTTATACAAATTTAATATTCTATTTATCATATACCAAAAATAAAGACTGTTTGAACTGAAGAAGAACAATTTATTATTAATGCGCCTATAGTGTAACGGTAACATTTTGCGCGTCTTAACTCTATGTTTATATAATGCAAATGAGGTAATCAAAATTTATGCTTGGCCGTGCAATGCCATATTTATGAGTCGCAAAGAACGGCATGGGTATGTGATAAATAAGGTTTTCAATGTAATGTAAATTAAGCTAAGTTCATTCAGGGTCTGGTATTTTGACAAGGGGACCCTATATTTAATGCCCTAATTGAGTTTTAAAAAAATACATAAAAGTTTAAAAACACATAAAAATAGGGCTTCATCGGTTCATCAACACTTGTTCTTTAACCTGTAATAAATGAGCATGTTCTAACTGAGCTATCGCGCAACAAAATGAGCACTGATGACATTGTGTTATTTGCACTACCAGCTTCAAAGTTTGAGAGTTATCCATTTCAATCTAAATTATGTGTGTATTAGACTGTGATGATGGTTAGTTAGAAAACTGGCTGTCACTCCTGGGGTCCGGGTTTGATCCTGGGTAACAACCTTGGGATATTTCAGAGACACTTTTAGTGTTTCCCGCCTACCTAGAGGTGCACTGGTAAGAAATCCAGGTAATCCTTGCATGTTTCAGTGCTATACACTGGGCATGTAAAAGAATCAAGGGGTCTTTTCAGTAAGAGCTCGGAACTGGTTCCCGGATTCCCTTGTATCTCAAAGCTGTCTCTCAATTCAATTCAATGTATACAATGTATACCTGCTTAGTGTAATCGTAAACAATTTTAAAGCAGTATGATGTAGATGTAGATGTGCCACCTACAAGAACAGGCTACATGGCAGAAACATTCCTTGATCAGAGTACATGTAGTTCTTTCTAAAGCCACATTATCAGAACATTTTCACTGTCATTTTTAGTTATAGTTTATTAGATATTTCTGCCTAACCTAAAGTCAAAGTAGCAAGATCTTTCCCTTAACTCAGGATGACATTTTGAAAAATAACTGATACTTGTCAATGTTTTCCGGAAGGCGTTTTTCTCCAAGATTTAATGAAGATACAATCATCATGTAAAACCTTTTTATTTCATAATAGATAAGCAGATAACCTGTTGGCAAAATTAATTTGATTATCTAGTATTCGAACACTTCTATCTTGATATGCATTTTTACTGGAGTTTACTCAGTAGGTGCATTCCTACTTATCTTAGTAAAATGCATTTGTATTCGTGCTTATTATATTGGAATGACAGTGTTTTACATATGAGGAAGAACTATGTTAATATTATGGATCTGTCCAAGTTACTTATTTTAAAGAGAATTTGTTCTAAATTGAAATTTATTCAAATAACCTCCCTGAAAAAAACCCACAGCAAGTTATAAATGCTTCCTTTATAATTTAACGTAATTTTACATTTTTTTAAGGGGGGGGGGGGGGGGGGGATATGGGGTCATGAACTTTCTTATGTTCTAAATTTGTTCTCACAAAAAGTTCTGAATAACACAAAATGTCAAAAGTTAGAACACTGAAAATGTTACAATACTCTTCCAGAGGATCCTCATTCATCATTTAAGTGATTGAAATTATATTTTACCCGTTTTCAAAATTCTTAAGTTCAGTAGTTTATGCTAATTTAATTCATATTTTACCTGATGAACACCTTCTATTTTCCAAATTCTTTAGTTATGTAGTTTCTGCCAATTTAATTTATATTTTACCGGACAATGAGAGCGTTCCATTTTCCAAATTCTTTAGTTCAGTCAAGTTTATGCTAACTTAATTTAGTTTCATAATGTGCTGGAAACTTATTATAACACTTCGGAATCCATTCCCCGAACCAATCAGTACTAGGCAATGAGCGTATTAGGTTTCTTGCCCTTGTAAACACGGCTGTTTGCCATGACTGGGCTCTTACCCATGCTGCAAGACTCCTGAAATTGTCTGAAATGTTAACGACTGGCCACACTGCCACTCAGTCTAAATTCTTTAGCGCATATAATTTATTTAAATATTTTCTGGTTAAATATTTCATTACATACAGTCATGTACTTGCACAGTGTTGAAGTTAAAAACAGAATTTCAACCATTAAGTTTGTTTGTGTTTGTTCAGCCAAATGATTTGCTATGCTGTAGGTCACTGGCGCCAACAAAGGGATAGGATATGCTATTGTTAGAGGGCTTTGCAAACAGTTTGACGGGGATGTCATTCTGACAGGTATGTTAATATTCTTAGTATATATTTATCATGCAGCCATGTTAAAGATGAAAAATTTCTGCATTGTCATATCACATGTTATACTTACATTTCACTAGGATATCACAAAATGTCACTTACCTTAATGTTGCTTCAGTGTATGATAATTGACAACTTTTGGCTATGAGGTACTTGAGACTGTTGATGCCAAATACCTTGGAATTATTGGTAACACAGAAATATGAGGCACCAGTATACCATAATGATTTTTAATCTTGATGGAAGAAAATTGCTTTCTTTTAAACATACATAAAAGTACTTAAAAGACACTATTCCTGTATAATATTTTAATTAAGGATGAGTTACATAATTATAACCTTTTCAAATGTAAGATATAAAGATAAATGTTGTTAATATGACTATTAATTGCAACATACGATGTATTAACATTTTCATAATGATTATTTCAATTTATTACATATTATTTAAAACAATAAAGGGGTGGAATGAAATTATGTCCTTGCTCTATGTCATTGAATGATCTGCTGAGTTGATTAAAGGGGATAAATGAAGTTATCTAGAACTCTGCAAATTTGGGTTTTCTTTCATCTAATTCCAGTGAACAAGTACAAACAAACCTTTACCAATTTAGCTTCACAGTACATTATGGTTCAATATAGAGTTATGACTGCATTGCTGTTACTAGATCTACCAGTATAATTTATCAAAACAACCCATGTTTTTTTAAATGGGAAAATATAGCACAGTAAATCCAATTTTCCATTTCAAATGTCAGTGCTTCTTGACTAATATTTAGAGCTGTTTATTTGGCAATTTAACTTTTTTTACTGCAGTAACAAAACTTTTTTCTGTTTAATGGGAAAATATGACTTCATATTAGGGGAAAAAGAAGCATTTTTGGCCAGGGGAAACAGCCTCTTGGCTTGGGGAAACCGCCCATTTAACAGGCTGTAAAATATGCATAAAAAGAAATTGCTGTATAATAATTTTTATCACTGCTGTATAATACATGTAATTATACCAAGTAGATCTACATGTAAATTTTAAAGTTTGTACCCTGGATTAAGGTGGGAAAAACCCTGCATTTGCTGATTTCCAGTGTGTATATCTATTTATATGTACATGTCTATAGGAAGAAGTGAAAGTAGGGGACAGGAAGCCATTAAACAATTAAATGGTGAAGGGTTGAAGCCTTTGTTTCACCAACTAGACCTTGATGATGTTGCCAGTATCGACAGATTAAAAACATTCCTACAGACAACATACTCTGGTCTTGATATACTTGTCAACAATGCTGGAATAGCCTTCAAGGTGAGAGCTTTATTTGATAATTATGAAGTGAAAGTTTTAATTTTAACATTTTCTAAAAAAAAACCAAAAAAACATACAAAATGTCAAAAAAACAAAAAAAAAACAAAAACATTTTATACAAAATGTCAAAAAAAAAACAAAACAAAAAACATTTTCTAGCTATTTACAGCCAAAGTAATATGAAAGAATTTATTGTCAAACATTTTATGCTTATAATGCTTAGAAACTTCTGCACATTTCACCAGTGATGTAGCTAACATGTTATCTATCTCTTAATTACCCTTTTTAAATGCAACACGTTTATATAAAGCAATAATCACTATAGAAATTGAATCATTTAATAATTTCAAGAAGTCCAGCTGGCTTTTTGTTGTTGGTGCATGAAATATTAAATTTTTATGTGATAGATGGCAGCCACTGAACCATTTGCTGTACAAGCTGAGATCACCGTAGCAACCAATTTCTGGGGTACTTTGAATGTTTGCAAGAAACTCTTCCCACTTCTAAGACCACATGCCAGGTTAGTTTAAAGTTAAAAAAGTTCAAGAAAGTTCATAGTTCTACAAAAAGTTCCAAATTTATAGAATAATTTGTGGCCTTTCAGGTATAATATGTAACTTATATTTACTCTTCAGATTGTTGAGCTAATTCCATCATCATTAAAATGTTGGGAAATGTCTATAACCTTTGAAAGTCAAATATCTTTATGTATAGAGACTGTACAGAATGTACTGGCTGACATGAAATGATAGTTCATACTGATTGCAATAACTGTAGCTCAGGGATGGCAAAATCAATTGTCTGTATTGTCCAGTTTGGAAGATTAATCTCAAGTAGTTTTAAAACAAGTAATGTGACTTGAACAAACCCTTGAAGTTACAGTAACAGATATTGTGGATATTGTATGATTGAAGAAAGTCTAAGTTGAGAGTTCACTGTGAGCTATTGTGAAACCTTTAAACGCTCTAGCCTGACCCACGTGAGTCAAGTTAGGAAAATAGCAGGAGAAAAGTTTTATTCCTGTGACTGCCTAGTGTATTCATTTTGAGGATATTTGCAGAGTAATGAATGAAAAATTCAAAATGAAGAAATGAAAAATTTGCCTGTGTATCCTTTTAAAACAATGCTGTACATGTACTTGAATTTAGGTGTAATTTGACTAGATTGTTATTTGAATTTTATACTTTAAGGGTGGTAAATGTATCAAGTGGAGCCAGCAATATGGCAGCCAAAAAATGTAGCTCTGCTCTGAATGCCAAGTTTCTCACTCCTGATCTGGATGTAGCGAAGGTGGAACAAATGATGACGGAGTTTGTCAAGTAAGTTGCCAGTTACATGATTTTAACCCGATGAAATCTCAGTACATGATTGAAATTCACGAATGATTTGTTGGATGTTTTTGAAAAAATTTGTTGAATGATTTTGAAAAAATAGCAATATGACACTTTTCTGTCTTGTTTTATAATACATGTACTGCACATTTGTAATGTTGCTATTAATTGAAAAACCGTGACGTTTACATACTACAAACATTTATAAACTAAATATACGATTGTTTTCAATTTATAAAATAATTTCAGTTTTCTTCAATTAAGTATTGGTTTGAAGTGTTGTTAATTTGTTATAAAGTTTCTTGACATGTTATATGGCCTTGTGTAAACAATTGTTTGCAATATAACTCTTGCCTTTAGACATGTATATGTAAACATCCATTTATGTAGGGCCATATAACCTGTAAAAAAAATTTTATAACTATTGATATATTCTGGTTGAACAGGAGTTATACTGCACTATGATGGCTGCAAGTTGGAGATCCCAACCAAGTTCTAGTGATTCAATAACATAGCCTTTAGGTTTATTAATAAATCTACCAATACCTTGAGTTCTTGCTTAAGCCATTGGCAAAGTTTTTTATTGGTTTAAATCATCATCTAAGCCATATTCTGTGTTAACAACTTAAAAATGTTCAGGTTATCATACAGCTATTCCTCTTTGATAACTCTTTCCATTGTCAAATATTTACCCATACCTTTGTGTTTAATTAAGGCTGTAATGGAATGATCATTTCCCCTTCTCTTTTTACTTTACTCTTTTAGATTTACTTTGTCATCTTTAAAAAAAAAAAAAAAAGAGAAAAAATTATGAAAAAGACGGAGCCCCATAAAATTGCATCATATCAGATTTCCTTTCTTTGGTGAAGAGACTTACCCGTGACACGTCAAGCATATAAGTAATTGATTAGCCCTGATTTGAATTTGGAATAGTCTTTTCAAAGTTTAAAGGATTTCACTATCAAAACACTGTATTACCAGCAATATAGATCTTGGGAAGACTGCATAAGCATGCAGACTGGCCTGGTACTATACTGGTGGCAAAGGCTGATCACTTATGGTCCCAGCAGATTTAAAGTAAAAGATGAGCAACGTTGAGACTGTGAATACCTTTAATAAGTAATACAAAAGTTTGTTATATAATTCATTATAGTTATTTTAATTATATAATGTTATTTTTTACATCTTTAGTTCAGCTAAAGACGGTACATTCCAGAAGAAAGGATGGTGTGAGTCAGCATATGGCTGTTCTAAGATTGGTGTTACCCTGCTTAGTTTTGCCCAGCAGAAAGAGTTCGATAACGATTCTCGTCCTGACATTATTGTTAATGCTGTAAGAAAATAGTTTAATTTCTGTTGGAAGATTTATTCAAGTTTTACTGAAATGAATGGAAAAGTTTGCCATTTAAATCAAAAAAGATTTTTCTCTGTGATTTTCATATTGACTCAGATAAGATTAGCGATAATATGGACATGTTCTTTTTACATGCACATTTAGTACCATTAGCACTTCCATGAAGCAGAATGCTTTAGATTCATGCTAATTTTCATGAAAATTTTAAAATTGTATATAAAAGTAAAATATTGTGAACTGAACAAAGAAAATAATTTACACTTGTTATTCATGTAAATTACTAAAAAGTGGTCAAGATAAGCAAAAATAGTCCTTATTGCGTTAGTTGTTGTTTTATACTTATTTACCATATTTGGATATACAATGTACATGTATTTCTATATGTACTGTAGTGTTGTCCTGGTTATGTGGATACAGACATGAGCAGTCACAAAGGAACAAGAACTATTGATGAAGGTAATATTTTAATACCACAGATTGACAAAACTATAAAGTTGATCTTTTTTTAAATAATAATTGTTACCTTGGCAACACATACAAAATGTTATAATAAGAGCTACCTAGTCACACTGCAAATGCCTTACTGGGATCCTACAAATTACCGGACAATCAGTTTACCGGACATAAGCTATTACTGCTGAATAGTGCTTTATTTTTTGCTTCGATTCAAAAATCATACAGTCTGAATTGTACACACACCTTCTATTTCAAAGTAAATGACAACAAAAGCACTCGCAGGTAAATATTGTTGATTCAGGTCTTTTTTCAATAACATGCCCTTTTGTTTACTAGTTATTTCATGACCAGGTATGGAGGCCCTTAATGGGTTATTTTAGATAGGTTTTACTTTTAATTCTTCTCTTAGGAGACAATCGTAACATATTTAAGTGATAAAAAGTAATTTAAAATTTAGTCCAAACAGTATATCGTTGTTGTCTTTTACAAAGAAATGCAAATTAAAAAAACATATAAAGAAACAGGTTTCGCCATTGGAGGAAACTCTATATAAAATGTAAATAAAATAGATTTTATGGCTTTTGTAATATTCTACATGATGACCAAAAGGAAACTGTATGACAAAGAATAGAATTCCATTGAAATATAAAAATGTTCCATACGTTTAAGGATCATGAAGAATCAAATAAATTACTTTACTTGAGTGTTAATTTCAATTACACCTTATATATATTGGCCTCTTCATATCAGGCATGGCTGCTGTGTCTTTTTCTAGTGACATACTGGGTTTTTCAAATATCTTAACCGTACCATTCAATATTCATAGTATCCTTGCTCATTATTTAAAGATTAATTTCAATTCACAACTTCAAATTTTTTTTAAATTCCATGTCCGGTAAATTGACTTGTTTACACAATTTTTTCCTCTTATAATGCCCTACTTTAAAGACGCATTTCTATGGTCAAATATTTAATTTCATGTTTGATAAAGGAATGCTTACGTGCATTAAGAACTAAAAATTATTTGGGTAAAATTCCATTCTTTTTTATTATTTTAAATAAAAGTTAGAGATAAAAAACTTCATAATTTGTCCGGTAATATGTAGGATCCCAGTAGGGTTGCCATAGAGTCGCTTAATACATCAGACAATATACTGTATAAGTGGTTAAGTTATCAACGTGAAAATATTAGTGAATTTTGTGAATTGACGAAAATCACTATAATTTCCTCCAACGTAAATATCAACCAACCAACCTTCATAAAATTCTACCCTAGCATGACATGCTTTGCGCAGTTAGGATGCAAGTTCATTTACTTATTTAGGTACATAAGTATACCTTTTATAATACAAGTCAGACTTAATAATTGTTACATTTATAAATAAGAGTATGTTATATTTTTGTTTACAGGAGCAGATACACCAATCTACCTGTCACTGCTACCAGAGAATGCTTCAAGCCCTAAAGGAAAGTTTCTGAGAGACAGAAAGGTCCTATCCTGGCCTTGACTAACTGGACATCTCTAGAACACCAGCATTATTTTAAACGATAGTCTCTAGAAATAAAATATTAGCTGCTTAAATGCTTTTCTTATGAACTAAAAGACTATTTTGGTTGTGTACAATATTTTAAGAATGTGGACTTAGATGGCTAATTTTTTTGAAAACGTCATAATTATTTTGTTTATTGTTAATTTTTAAGGCATTTGTCAATTTTGAAAATCTCTTAATGACCTCAATTGCAGAACCTGCCATTTTGACATAATAAATATTAAATTAACTATGTACATGTATCATTTGTTGTAATATACATGTATTTATACATGTACTTCACATTTGCAACATCATATCTCATTGGATAATCATGACTTTTATATAAATTTTACACATGGCTACTGTCAATTAATGATGTAATACAATTTTTCTTTTTTTTTAAATAAAGGAAATTTGCTGTATTATAAATTCTCTTTCAGATTTTTTTTACCAGGTTGTGAACAATATTTTATATATTTTAAAAATTCTTTATATACATTTACATTTGTGTGTAAGTGTATTCTGATTTCAGATGTATACATGTTTATTATATTCTTCACATGAAAGTAAAGAAAAGAGTGAGCAAGGGTACCATTTCAATATAAATCGGGTACTTTTCAGATTTTTCCTGCAAATTGACATCGAAGTACTTACAGGTTTTTGTTGAATATAATGTTAAATATATTGCTGCTACAGTTGCTTTTGAATCAAAATAAAATATTGCAAAGACAGATTATTCTTTTTCTTATTATGTCGCTGTAAATATAATTGAGGCTTGCAGTGAATTGGTCTAAAATGGACACAATATCTATAAATATTTCAAAATATTGATAAAAGCAATAGAAATGTATCATTCAGTTAATCTATTAAAATATTTCTTTAAATAATAATGTTTGATGTAGAATTCCAAGTGATTTAGTATGAAAAGATATACTATTGATAACAATACCGGTAGTTTGTTCCATAACAATTTGTTATCTGTTACATGTATATCTAAATATGTCATCTTGGATCCAGCCTGGTTATCGGCATAGGACCTAGCTCTACCCCCAGGGATACACTCTGAAGTATCAGTAACATATTTATGCCCCCATTTCGAAGAAAAGGGGGTATATTGCTTTGCACTTGTCGGTCCGTCGGTCCGTAGACCAAATGGTTTCCGAGTGATAACTAAAGAACCCTTAGGCCTAGGAACTTCAAACTTGGTATGGTGATTGGTCATGATCAGTAGATGACCCCTATCGATTTTGGAGTCAAGGGGTGAAAGGTCAAGGTCACATTGACCTTGTAAGCAAAAACGGTTTCCGATCAATAACTAAAGAACCTTAAGGCCTAGGAACTTCAAACTTGGTATGGTGATTGGTCATGATCAGTAGATGACCCCTATTGATTTTGGGGTCAAAGGTCAAGGTCACATTGACCTTGAAAGCAAAAACAGTTTCCGATCAATAACTAAAGAACTTTAAGGCCTATGAACTTCAAACTTGGTATGGTGATTGGTCATGATCAGTAGATGACCCCTATCGATTTTGGGGTCAAGGGGTCAAAGTCACATTGACCTCTTGGGTAAAAACAGTTTCTGATCATAACAAAAGAACCCTTAGGCCTAGGTTATAACCAGCAGATGACCGCTATTGATTTTGGGGTTAAGGGGTCAAAGGTCAAGGTCACATTGACCTTGTAGGTAAAAACGGTTTCCGATCAATAACGAAAGAACCCTTAAGCCTAGGGACTTCAAACTTGGTATGGTGATTGGTCATGACCAGCAGATGACCCCTATTGATATTGGGGTTAAGGGGTCAAAGGTCAAGGTCACATTGACCTTGTAGGAAAAAATGCTTTCCAATCAATAACTTAAGAACCCTTAGGCCTAGGAACTTCAAACTTGGTATGGTGATTGGTCATGACCAGCAGATGACCTATTGATTTTGGGTCAAGGGGTCAAAGGTCAAGGTCACATTGACCTTGTAGGTAAAAACGCTTAGGCCTAGGAACTTCAAACTTTGTATTATGATTGGTCGTGACCAGCAGATGACCCCTATTGAGTTTTGGGTCAAGGGGTCAAAGGTCAAGGTCACATTGACCTTGTAAGTAAAAACGGTTTCTGATCAATAACTTAAGAACGCTTAGGCCTAGGAACTTTAAACTTGGTATGGTGATTTGTCATGACCAGCAGATTACCCCTATTGATTTTGAGATCAAGGGGTCAAAGGTCAAGGTCACATTGACATTGTAAGTAAAAATGGTTTCTGATCAATAACTAAAGAAAGCTTTGGCCTAGGAACTTCAAACTTGGCATGGTGATTGGTCATGACCGGCAGATGACCCCTATTGATTTTGGGGTCAAAAGTCAAGGTCACATTGACCTTGTATGTTAAAACGGTTTCCGATCAATAACTAAAGAACTTTAAGGCCTAGGAACTTCAAACTTGGTACGGTGATTGGTTATGACAAGCAGATGACCTATTGATTTTGGGGTCAAAGGTCAAGGTCACATTGACCTTGTAGGTAAAAACAGTTTCCGATCAATTAACTAAAAATGCTTAGGCCTAGGAACTTCAAACTTTGTATTATGATTGGTCGTGACCAGCAGATGACCCCTATTGAGTTTTGGGTCAAGGGGTCAAAGGTCAAGGTCACATTGACCTTGTAAGTAAAAACGGTTTCTGATCAATAACTTCAGAACGCTTAGGCCTAGGAACTTCAAATTTGGTATGGTGATTTGTCATGACCAGCAGATTACCCCTATTGATTTTGAGAACAAGGGGTCAAAGGTCAAGGTCACATTGACATTGTAAGTAAAAATGGTTTCTGATCAATAACTAAAGAAGGCTTTGGCCTAGGAACTTCAAACTTGGCATTGTGATTGGTCATGACCAGGAGATGACCTCTATCGATTTTGGGGTCAAATGTCAAGGTCACATTGCCCTTGTATGTTAAAACGGTTTCCGATAAATAACTAAAGAACCCTTAGGCCTAGGAACTTCAAACTTGGTATGGTGATTGGTCATGACCAGCAGATGACCTATTGAAACTGGGGTCAAGGGGTCAAAGGTCAAGGTCACATTGACCTTGTAGGTAAAACGGTTTCCGATCAATTAACTAAAATGCTTAGGCCTAGGAACTTCAAACTTTGTATGATGATTGGTCGTGACCAGCAGATGACCCCTATTGAGTTTTGGGTCAAGGGGTCATGACCAGTAGATACTTGATAACCCTTATTAATTGTTTGATCACTGGGTCAGAAGTCATGCATAATAACCTTATCACACGACTAATTGGCTGCTGATAGGGGGCATTCATGTTTTACAAACATATCTTGTTTTAATAGAATTGTTTGATTTTGTATTGATTGTTTGATTTTGAATTGTCATGTATTTTGAATGAGAAATATGTGTTTTTGGAGGTTGGTAGAATAGAGGGTCCTGTGGGGTAAATCCCTGTGAGTAGGGCTTGGTCCACTACCAATTACCTGAACATGTATCTCTCACCACGGATTTACATTACAAATCCGTGCTCTCACTTACATTCTTACAGGATTTTTAGTTATGCATAATACTAAATACTATCAATATGATTATTTATGATATTTATGATCTTTCCTTATGGACCTATTCACTTTAAATACATGTATTTTGGGTCAGATTTGGTTTGTTTGTTTTGATTGGGTTTTACATTGTCATACCAACACAGTATAGGTCATATGGCGGCATTCCAGCTTTACTGGTGGAGGAAGACCTCAGGTGCCCATCAGTGCATTATTTCAGGCACAACTTTAGCAGAACCAGCGTCGTTCTGTAAGCTAGCTGGATAGCTTCCTCACATAAAAGAATCCAAAGTCCTTGTCGGGATTCAAACACGGTGGTGTGGGGCAAGCGGTTTGAAGTCAATGACCTTAACCACTAGATTACAGACACTGCTGTATTAAAGTTGTATCAAGGACACCTTTGCTTTCCTGGAAATTAAATTTTTGGGAAATAAGCAACATTTAAGAAATTGTGCAGTTTGAATACACTGTACAGTTTAATAACTCGCAAGTAATGCACAATTGTGTAAAAATTTAGAGTAGTACAAGTCTATGTGAAATTTTCCTCAATAAAGAAAACAACTAGCTAACATACATTAATCAGCGACTTTTTTACCAAGAAATATCAGAACAAAGCTTTTTTCTCTTAAATTATTCATCTTTATTTACATCACCATACATGTTGTTTAACAATTTAAATACATGTATATACATGTACAAATGTGAAAGATAAAAGTATTTAATTACATGACTTTTTTTGTATATTCAAATATTATTTCACTTACTCTATTGTTTTTTGTTTACGAAATATGAACATAGTTTTCCAGTAAATATAGAAAATCAGCTTTAAATATTAAATCCTACAAAAATTGTACACTGTGTGCCAGAACTTGATCTTGGACTCCTAAATAAGATAAAATTCAAGTTACAAAAACTAAAGTTATGTACTTAGTAGAAACAAAGAATTAATGTAAAACTAACTATTTAATGGAGAGAACTAAGGAGAAATTACATGATCAGTGTCTGTGATTTACTCTTTTTAAATTTTATATGCTTCTCAACTTATTCACAAAATTCACTTTTATCGGTAGTTTTTTCCCCCAAGTTTGGACTTTATGCCATTTATATACTTGTTGGTTTGTTTTGTTTGGGGTTTTAATGCACAACCAACATTGAAAAGGGGACTGGTCATAAGGTGATTTTCCAGCTTTACAACCGGAGAAAAACCTCATGTGTCGTTCCTTCATGTATTATTTCATGCATGAGCAAAACTCAGGTAGAACCATCAACCTGTTATAACCAGGCTGGATAGCTTCCTCACAGGAATTAAATTAAAGTCCCCCGACAATGAGTTAAACCCACTGTTGTCAGGGGCAAACAATTTGAAGCCGGCAACCTTAACCACACAACCACAGAGTCACACCAACATTGAAAAGGTCATACAGCCACTTTCCAGTTTTACTGCTGAAGGAAAATTTTTGGTGCCTCTCATACATTTTTTTAAGGCATACACAAAACCAGAATTAAACCATCAACCTTTTGTTATCTAGCTGGATAGCTTTCTCACATGAATGAATCTAAAGTCCATGGTGGGATTTAAACCAACTGTGGTGAGGCGCAAACAAGTTGGTCAGTGACCGTAACCACTCCATATCCTTACAAGCATTTATATTATTTTACAGTTGCTGAATGTACAGTACCATTTCTGAACTAGTTTATTCAAATTTATTAACATCCACTACTTTGATGATAAATAAGTTGACCAATAGTATTTGTTGTTTTATCTCGAACCCAAATCATGAAAAATGACACATGGCATTTGTTGTTTTATCATGAAAAATGACCAATGGCATTTGTTGTTTTATCATGAAAAATGACCAATAGTATTTGTTGTATTATCTCAAACCCAAATCATGAAAAATGACCAATGGCATTTGTTGTTTTATCATGAAAAATGACCAATGGCATTTGTTGTTTTATCATAAAAATTGACCAATGGCATTTGTTGTTTTATCTTCTTCGACATTTTTTTTTCAACCGAAAGCCCAAAAGTTAAACATTTTGACATGCCCTAGAAGTAAAACCAAGCTCTCCGTCTACGGTGTCAGGTAGGCCGAGGGAAGATGGCAAACCTCTGACATTTTCCAAGCAAAGCATTATTTGAGACATGACTTTAGTCAGACTTGGAGATAGCTCGACAGCTAAATTTCCCTAGTCGTGCAAAGGAAGGGAAATTTGAAAAAAAAAATTAATATTTTAAATAAAAGCATAGTAAAGCAAACACACAAGTAACAAGACTCAGTATCCCTAAGATGAATTAACTTTTTTTTCTCACACTCACATAATATTATACAAACATTTATTTTGAAAACCTCAGAATATTAATGTTGCATAACATTGAATACTATAGCTCTGCATGCATATTGGGTATACATTTAACAGTATTCACTACTAATGGTTTTGCTTCCAACTTATTACTTCTATTAAGGAGCATCTCCACATACAAAGTCAGCACACATAATTCAACTTAATAAAAACATCTTTTTTACATATAAAAAATCACAAAAATTCATATAACAGTTATTTTAATTACTATCACACCATTTATCCCTTGTAAGCACATCAATTCAATGACATGTGCTAATTTCTCTTAATATTGGTGCTTCTCTGTAGAATGGGTCTATGTGTTGTCTATGAATTTATTAATGTCCGTTAATAAACTAAGGGAAAATGGTGTCAGGTATTTTGTTCTGGTTCTGTTGGCTTTTGTTGTGACCTTGTCTTGACCTCTGTGTCTATCCTCTCTTTTGCTCTTACAACCTGAAAAAAGCAAAATCAATTCATGAATAAATATTTTACTTAGTGTGAATATTTTAGCCTGTGATATTTTTTGTATTAAACATGGACTGATATTAGGCCACTTTGAAATTAACAAAACTGTAGAAAATTCCCAAGTAAGCACCAACCGTAAAACAAGCAACCTTTTAGAAATTTGTTAAATTGCTTCCTAACAAACAAGTCCTGTCAGTAGAACATTGTGCTTAACTATTCTTAGTGCTTCATAGTAAAACAAGAGCCTGGATAATGTAGATTTTTTAAAGTTAAAAAAAAGGCTTTAACTCTCACAAAATAAATTTTAAAGTTATGGACCTGTGTGTTAAGTTTCAACAAATTCCCTTTAGTAATTTCACAGATACCAACTTGCACCCAAAAACTTAACCTAATTGTGATGACAATGCCAGGGCATTCTTTGAATAGTCAAGTTAAATTAAATGACCCCCTATATAATGATGATCTCCTTTGCAGTTTTTAAAGCCCTTTGTATAAGTGACTGGTTAATACACAGACACTGCATTAACAAAGTATTTTCTATCATTATTATTTAATTATGCTAAAATTGTTGAGTAAATGTTGCAACATAAGATTTCACTAACCTTTGACTGTAAATAAAATGATCCCCCTTTTGCCTTGTCATTCACTTTAAATAAATGATCATAATTTGATTGTACCCCCTCAGCATCTGTGATATCCGAAACATTCAGTATTTCTTTGGCTTCCTGTAAAATATATTGAAAATTATGATCGAATATGTAACAAGAATTATAAACTTAATACAGATATTTAAAATTTATCACAAGCAATAATAAATTTGCTACATTCAATTTGACAGCAAATCACTAATTTTTCAAAGTTTTGTAGTTTGGCAACAACTATTTTAGTCATAATGTCGAGATTGATATTCTTTTAAATAGACTGAAGGAACTGAATGCTTACAAAACAAGTAGTTTCTAGCTCTACAAGTTTAAAGAATAAAATCTATCGAGAAATACCTCTGTAAAGATGCTTTGAAATTGCAATTTTCAAATATTATGCAAGGAATAATAAATCTGACAAAAGCTTATTTTACACTAAAAATATGCTTGAGATATAATTTGAGATATCTCTCTTTGGATAAATAATATTACTAAACACGCTACAAAAGAGACCCTCTAGCCCAAAAACTTGAGCTGAAAATCTAGTTTATACCTGTAAAGTCATGCCCGTAAATGTATCAGTAGCGGCACTTTTCCTTCCTTGACTCCCTCCACCTGCACGCTGTGCTGCTCTTTGACTAGCCTCATACTCTTGCTTTAATGCTCGCGTAAATGCCTGTCCTACAACCTTTCCTCCAGCAATTATAACTTTAAATAATTCTTTAGCCTGAAATATAAAATAAAATGCTATGATTTATATCAGTATAAATATTACCGGAGGATCAATATGATTAGGATCAAGACTTGACCTTGGTAATAGACAAATGTGCCCAAAGCTGGGCAAAATAAACAAATAATGACCTACTCATAGAATAACATCAAAGGCATGTTTATTATAGAAAGAGTGTAAAAATACTACAGAAAGTTCAAACAGTATTAATAAACACTTCTTTTACCTTCTCAGTTTGTTATTTTATTTCAAAATGCATTCATGAATGACAGAATTATGTGCTACACATATTGATATACAAAATGTAATGCAAAATCATATCAAAATCAATATTAAAATAGGTGGTTCTATAAGAACAATAGCATTGCAGGAGTTGCCATTGCTTGTCTTTTGAAGACAACAATAAAATCATGAGTGTTACTAATCTAATTATGGCTATTATCATTAAATTATGCATGAAGAGTTCTAGACAGGGTTTTTTTTCAAGGATTTTGGTAACATGACCCATACCCATAGAATTGGGTATTTCAGCTTTTTTCTTAAAATTTGGGAAAAAATTCATGACTTCATTTTTTTCAGTGATTAAATGAATGCAAAGAATCACTGTCTAGGATGGCATCTTCAAACATTTAAACACCATAACAGTGAAGAAGCCCTTATTTTCAAGGATTTTAGAATTTGATTTTCAATATTTTTATTTTGTAACTTGCAATTGGGATTTTTTCCTGTGCATTGGGAAAATAATATACTATTTTCAAAAGGGAAAATGACCGAATATCGGCTATAAAATAAGCCAAAAAAAAATCCTGCATTTTATATATATTACCTTCACTTGTTGCCATTTAGAGGTCTAGAATTTCATGATATTTATTGACTGTCCATACATGTGTAGATAGTCTAGAAATTTAAAGATTTTTCAAAGATATTCAATGTGAAATTTGCTGTTTTTAGTTTAACACTTAAATCGGCAGCTTAAGGCCGGTATTCCATCTATACGGGAATGTGTAGCGAGAACGTTAAGTGCAAACGTGAAAAATCAAACAAATGATTTGCTATTGTATGTATTCCTTATTGACGTGAGCCCGATGTGAGAGTGAAACGTGAATTTATGACATGTGACATTGTAACGCGCGCATGAAACCGATCCCTACATGTAGTGATTTTTCACGTTCACGTACGGCATTCACAGACGTGAACTGAAGCCACCATGAAAGGTCCTCTGTCTATGCCAGATGCAACAGAAAAATTAAGTGAGGCAATTAGAAAATGCCCTATTCTGTATGACCCTAAACATACTAAAGGAGTACAGAGACACAGACATCAAAGACCGGGTGTTGCAGACAATTGCTGACTCTCAACATTCCTGGCTTGAAAGGTACACCTAACATAAATTAATTTCAGTTGCAAAACAATGTTAATTTAAGTGTGTGTAGTTTTTGCAAGCATGCTTAAACTTTATTATTGCTTATGACAATTCTGTTGTAATTACAAAATTCAACTATTAAATTCCACTCATCTAATGACATACCGGTATTTTCTTTCCAACAAAAATGGAACAAACAATTGTTTTCACGCTAACCGAATGAACGGAAATATATAGTGTGATTGGAAACTCGCGCCTCACGTTCAAGTTTCACGCTCACGCTAAACGTTCATGTTGGGCTCCTGTATGAATGGAATACCGGCCCAAGACAAGTTGTTTTATTGATTGTTTATATTTACAAAGGTAATGGGCGAGTTTCATCTTTGCAGGCCTTGACATTAACTTTTTTATTTGGTTGTCCTGTCGGGCAAGTACTTTTGAAAATTACTTGCCCTGACCCAAAGCTTGCTTTTAAGAAATTAAGACATTTTGTGACAAAATCATACTCATTTTTTCACTAAAATTGGTTGGAAATAGAAGGAAGGTTAAAAGGGGCTAAACAAATTTTAAACATTTTAAAATGTTTTCAGTAATTAAGTTACATGTATTTTGAAGAAAAAAAAAGTCAAAAAAAAAAGGTTATTGTGACAAAAAAAAAGTTTTGTGCATTTGATATATAAAAATCACTTAGATATAGTACTTTCTTCATAAAAGAATTTTTATAAAGTTGTGGACAGAAACTTTGTAGGTTTTTTGTTTACCACGTCTTAAGTCGTGAAAATATGTGACAATTTCATTTACCGATTTTGTATTCTTTTTACTTTCTTAATTCACATCTTTTTTCCTTGTGGATATGACTCTGTAACACATTTGTAGATGAATTGTTATTATTTTCACAATTATCTACAGGAGAAACGGATATACGATAAATTTTAGATTTTAACGGCAAAAATAAACAGCCAGAAATCGTCAAATGTTTAGACGGATAAATTAAACTATAAGTTCAAGGTTGTGATTTGAACTTCAACAAGGTTTGAACACCTTTAATAAGAAGAGGTGTTGACATAATTTATAATGCTAATCAAGTTTTGACATATTCATCAGACAACCGGATAGTCTGTGTACATGTACAATTGCCCCTGCTGTGAGGTTCGTTATTTATCGTCTCCACAAATGTGATTCATTCTAATTAAGTCTAATTAAGATTGAAATTGTAATTTGCAAGGATTATTGGTCATAATATTGGAATTTAATATGTTTACTTATGATTTTTTTCACTTGCCCTGTCGGACAAGTTCTTTTGAAATTCACTTGCTCTGACAAAACTTTTGGTTGTCCCGGGCAGTCGGACAACCGTTAATGTCTAGCCCTGCTTTGTATGATAATTTTGAAATTTTTTAAAAAAGTGAAAATTGACAGTTATCAAATTGTTCTGAATATAACCATACTGTTACATTTAATAATATAATATGTAACCTTGTTCATTTTAACCTGCGGTTTTGAATTTTAATGCACCTCCAACTATTTTTTAAATTAAAATTTACCAATAAAAAGAATCTGTAAAATTTGGACTGTCTGAAAATATGAAATCCTAGACCTGGTTTAGACAATAAATAATTATTTTAAGATTCATTTTTAATTTAATAAAAATAGATATGTAATTTTTCACTTTATGGGGCAAGTTTTTCCAATCATAAAAAAGTTGACATGATTTCAAATATCTATGATTTTACGCTAACCAACTTGATGATGAAATGTTATACAAATTCAGAAAATAATCATTTCATTGCATAAGATTCAAGAAACATGACAACATGCAATGAAAACAGAGTTATTCCCCGTGGACTATTTAATCGTATAATTTCCCTTTTTATGTATGATATGATAAATATCAGTCTTGAAAGTAGTAAAAATCATTTAATAAAAATAACGTGCAGTTAAAAGTTTTAAGCAGGATTACAAATAAAACATATAATACCATTGAATTCAGTTTTTCACGATTGTCCTTCAAAACATGGGGCAACCGGATCTTTACTTTCGTTTTAAATGAAGCGAATATATTTTTTTTTTCAATAAAAAAAAAATCAGGAATAAATGGACTTTATATGAACTTTTACGTTTAAATTTAATAACAAGAAAATAATTTAAAACAGATTTAATAAATTTGGTTGAAATACACGAAAAAAATATCGATATTAAAGGCCACCCATTCAGTCCGTTACAGGCGGAAGTGATACGTTTAGCAAAAACGTCCAAAAATAAAATTCGGTGATTTTATAATTCGAGTTTTCTTTATCAGTTCATCATGCCGAAAGAAAATTTAAAGGAAAAGCTTGACGGAAATGAATTGGATCTGAGTCTGAATAATTTAACTACAGTTCCTGTGAAAGAATTGGTAATTATTATTGTCGTTCACTGTGTAAGACGTGGGTGGGGTACAAATTTTCTACTTTCATTTTGCTAATTTTCAGCATCTGGTTGTTAAAGTTCGAAAAACATCAAACTGACATATTTATTACACACAGCAGTAATTTCTCCGTAACATAAACACATGTCATCTATAGACAAGTTACTGTAATTGAATGATTTTGATTTGTAATAGAATTTAGAACTATCAGTATCAGTTACTCAGTGCAAAGAATATTTGACAATATATATCTATGGTGAATGACAGATATCATTATTTCAATTATACATTGATTGTTTCTTATAATTACTTGTCTGTGATGGATTCATGTGTGATTCACCTGTACAAGTCAACCCGGCCCCAAGTCATCCCGGCCCAAAGTCAACCCCCCAAAATTGGTCAATCCGGCCCCACGGTTTTTTTATTTGGTCAACCCGGCCCCAAAATTGGTCAGTGCGGCCCCAAAATTGGTCATTCCGGCCCCAAAATATATATTTGTCGGTAAATTTAATTGCGCCGATTAAGTCTTTAATGCGCAATATTGATGATGAATTATTATATAACATCAACAATTATATGTACATCAACATTATTTAATTCAGATGCGATAATCAAACAGTTTAAAGCAATCAATTAACAAAAAAGGTATAGCTGTGAAAACAAATCCTTTTAATAAGTTGGTAGTATCTTTCATGTCTTTATTCGATGTAAATTAAAGATGATTTCGTGAGTGTTAATGCAATTATTAGGAAGAAATGCATAGAATTTCGAGTTAAAAGGTTTGTATAAATATAGTTTCCACCAATATTTTTTCAATTCATTTGAATGTTTTTATTGAATACGTTCATCATTATAATTAATATTTGTTTCGTTTTTTATTAACTTATTTTCAAAGAATATTTACTGTGTAAAAAGGTATTGGAATATTACTAAGTGTTTGGAAAATTGATAGTGTTTTGCGTTTAATCTAATATAAATGATCATATCATTATTGTTGTTAATTAAATTAACACATTAAGGTTTCTTTTCCATGATATGTCAAAAAAAAGTTTAGTTTCCCAAATTTAACATCTTTATCTTTAAACGTGCTATTTTGAATAAAAACACTATTCATCAACTGTTAAAGTACTATCAGAAGTTTGATCTTTTTACAGTATATCCCTAAATATGTCTAAGCACTACAATGAATATATAAAATAATAATAAAAGATATCATCATTGAACTTTTTTTTTGTTGTTAATTTTTATCTTATTTCTTGATAAGTGTTTACATTTTAAAGCAAAATAAATAATAAAAAAAATGGGGCCGGGTTGACCAGAAATAAAATTGGTTTGGGGCCGGGTTGACCAATTAGGGACCAGGCTGACTTGGGGCCAGGTTGACTTGGGGCCGGGTTGACTGTAATTCGTGATTCACTTTTATAACAGTTTTTTTTCAGTAAAATCAGACTTAAATGTTTGATACAGAGACTCCAAAACAGATCATTTTCTCCTCTAGACCCCAGCATGCCCATTCATGCACTACAGTGCATAATTCACGCACACAATTCTAGATGCAGGCATAAAAATTGTAAGCAGGGGGTACATGCACGCAAAGTAAAATAGTCAGAATGAATGTTTGGGATAGCCTAACTAAATGTCGTTGCCATCTACCTATGGATAGGAACAGTCTAAACCCGGCCACAATTGCATGTCTGCTTTCAAAGTCATCTCAGTCTGATTCGTAAATATTTTAGTCATGTTTTGACGTCACATGTACTGTCTTAAGAAAATAAGAACGAAACGGAAAAGTTTTGGATATTTACAACTGCCAAAAAGTATTTTGAGTTCTCCAATGATCAGCAAAAAGTTAATCACTTGATTTTTTAACAACTACCTTCAATTGTGAACTTTATGCAGGTCATATGAAATGAAAATGTAAATAATTGAGATTTTAAAATAAATGTACATAATCTCGGATATACAAAATTTTGGTTATGGGTAATAATCGTATGGACTAAACAAAATACCAGTGATTGTAATGGCTGTTATATTGCTACCTTAAGTGATGAGTTTGTGTCAGTGTTACTTGGTAGTAATACTAAGTGAAACAGCTGTTCATTAATATCATGTTGACTAAAATGTTCTTACAAACAAAAACATGTTTAAACTTATGTGTACCCCCAGATTTTGAAATGTACCCCCAATATTCAATGACAGGGGGTACATGTACCCCTACATTTAAAATTGAGTGGGCATGCTGGATCCACCCTTGAAGTTGGTTAGGGTTGGATATCATTAAGAACGAAACGATACGATACGATACCGATACTCATGAAACGATACGGTATATTATCGATACCGATACTCGATACTTGAAAGTGTATGTTTCAGCAGCCGTATTCATTATGTATTCATTATTGCTATAGGTATTTTATTTTGATTTGTTTTATAATGAAATAAAAATTAAATTCAAGCTTCTTTGTGAAATTGCTTACTATATTCTATATTCCTTGAGCAGTCTCCGGCTTCAACGAGTCAAATAGAGAACATTGTTTCAGTTGTAAATTGTGTTTAAGTCTCAGGTATTTTATTAAATTACTGGTTTTTTCACCTTTCCCAAGGCAAAACGTTTGGCAATAAATGCAAACACCACCTCCTTCTTTAGGAGTGAAATGTGCCCAGACCGGAGACCGCTTTGATCGAGACCCCACCATAATATTGTTGACATGAGCAACGACATGTATAAAATTCGAATATTTTAATGAATATTGCAGAAATGTTTAATAGCAAGTAACAATATTTTTTGGGAATAAAAATCGAATAATACATCAAAAAGTGATCAACAAATGCTGTATCAAGTATTTGAATTTATGCAGCATGTTATTATAATGGTTTTTAGCTCGACTATTCGCAGAATAATCGAGCTAATGCAGTCACCCATTTGTCGGCGTCGGCGTCGGCGTCCCTGTGGTTAAGTTTTTGTATGTAAGCTGGTATCTCCATAACTACTGAAGGGAATGGATTGAAACTTCACACACTTGTTCTCTGTGATTATCTAAGATGATTGGCACAAGTCCCATAACTCTGATTTGCTTTTTTTCATAATTATGCCCCTTTTTCGACTTAGAAATTCTTGGTTAAGTTTTTGTATGTAAGCTGGTATCTCCATAACTACTGAAGGGAATGGATTGAAACTTTAAAAAAACTTGTTCTCTGTGATTATCTAAGATGATTGGCACAAGTCCCATAACTCTGATTTGCTTTTTTTTATAATTATGCCCCTTTTTCGACTTAGAAATTCTTGGTTAAGTTTTTGTATGTAAGCTGGTATCTCCATAACTACTGAAGGGAATGGATTGAAACTTCACACACTTGTTCTCTGTGATTATCTAAGATGATTGGCACAAGTCCCATAACTCTGATTTGCTTTTTTTCATAATTATGCCCCTTTTTCGACTTAGAAATTCTTGGTTAAGTTTTTGTATGTAAGCTGGTATCTCCATAACTACTGAAGGGAATGGATTGAAACTTTACACACTTGTTCTCTGTGATTATCTAAGATGATTGGCACAAGTCCCATAACTCTGATTTGCTTTTTTTTATAATTATGCCCCTTTTTCGACTTAGAAATTCTTGGTTAAGTTTTTGTATGTAAGCTGGTATCTCCATAACTACTGAAGGGAATGGATTGAAACTTCACACACTTGTTCTCTGTGATTATCTAAGATGATTGGCACAAGTCCCATAACTCTGATTTGCTTTTTTTTATAATTATGCCCCTTTTTCGACTTAGAAATTCTTGGTTAAGTTTTTGTATGTAAGCTGTTATCTCCATAACTACTGAAGGGAATTGATTGAAACTTCACACACTTGTTCTCTGTAATTATCTAAGATGATTGGCACAAGTCCCATAACTCTGATTTGCTTTTTTACATAATTATGCCCCTTTTTCGACTTAGAAATTCTTGGTTAAGTTTTTGCGTGTAAGCTGGTATCTCCATAACTACTGAAGGGAATGGATTGAAACTTCACACACTTGTTCTCTGTGATTATTTAAGATAATTGCCACAAGTCCCATAACTCTGATTTGCTTTTTTACATAATTATGCCCCTTTTTCGACTTAGAAATTCTTGGTTAAGTTTTTGCATGTAAGCTGGTATCTCCATAACTACTGAAGGGAATGGATTGAAACTTCACACACTTGGTCTCTGTGATTATCTAAGCTGATTGGCACAAGTCCCATAACTCTGATTTACTTTTTTTCATAATTATGCCCCTTTTTCGACTTAGAAATTCTTGGTTAAGTTTTTGTATGTAAGCTGGTATCTCCATAACTACTGAAGGGAATTGATTGAAACTTCACACACTTGTTCTCTGTGATTATCTAAGATGATTGGCACAAGTCCCATAACTCTGATTTGCTTTTTTTGCATAATTATGCCCCTTTTTCGACTCATGAATTCTTGGTAAAGTTTTTGCATGTAAGCTTGTCTCTCCATAACTACTGAAGGGAATGTATTGAAACTTGAAGAGTTTGTACCTTTTCGGACAATTTTATGTATTCATATAGGTAAGCATTATTATACTCAATGAAACACCCTTGTGACAAATTTTCGAATAGTCGAGCGTTACTGTCCTCCGACAGTTCTTGTTGTAAATACGAATATCGCTGCTACCACGTGCACTCGGTAGTGATCTCCCTTGACTTGCACTATGGACGTTTCTGACCACGGCCTTTTTGCATTCTTTTTGTGATATTATTGACGTAAATAATCGTTAATTTTATTCATTTTCCTTTGTTTTTTTTGTAAATATTCGTTGCTTTTAATTTTGAAAATACCGTTAAAAATACCGGTACTTTTTGAAACGGTATATACCGGTAAATTATGAAACGGTTTTCGGTACGGTCTAAGTACCGGTTATCGGTATCCAACCCTAAAGTTGGTTGATTTCCACCGTCTTGTTTTACATAATCGACTGTTATTACTTTTTCATTCATTAGGCATAAAAAAGTTTATTTCTGGTAACAGCAAGTAACAGTATATAAATATATCAGAATTCTAATATAATAAATATATCTGCCTTTTTATATATTATCAACCCCTTTTAAGTTTTAATGTGTTTTGATGATAATTGTCTATTTCAGGCAGAGCTGCAGAAAGCAACACATTTAGATCTGTCATGTAACCTCCTAGCTGATTTACCTGTAAGTGGCTTTGTTATTAAAACATATGTTACATAGTCTTCAGTTTTTAAATAATTGATATAGCAGTTAAATATCAGTTGAAAATATTAGTTGTAAATACTCATCATTAGCTATGGAGCTGCTGTAACCAAATGTGGTCAGTCATTGCTACCAGTATAGAGCCAGGTCAGCCTGCACCTATGCAGGTTAAGAATTAGATTTATGCACAAATTGATTCTGTGCACTGTGTTTAAAGACAGCTTTGTCTATTGACATGATATTGTTTTTGGATTTATCCTGTGCGACAGTCATTGAAACTATCATTTTTTCAAAGTGATGTAAAGTTTACCAAGACTGTAGATACTTTCAGTTAAGGGACCCATTCACAATCACTGAAAATTCTTATTTTTACCCAAAATGTCATCAATAATTTATTCAAGATTCATTAATTTGCTTTATTATTATACCAAGACATATATTTTTCTAATTCACCTTATTTGATTACCAATTAAGCAGATACTCAGAGGGGTTGTGTGACCTATTCACTGTATGAAATATTTCGATTTTATTGTTTGTTGTAGTTGGGTTTTTTATGTTGTTGTTTTTTGAAGAGATAGGCACATTTCACATTATTTTTCAGGATACATTCTGTACACTGACACATCTCGTGAAGATAGATCTTAGCAAGAATCTTCTAACAAAACTCCCCGATGATTTCGGAAACTTGATTCGGCTTCAGCATCTAGATCTCCTTGGTAATAAACTCACAGGTTTACCTGTAAGCATGTACCAGCTGACCAAACTCAGATGGCTTGATCTGAAAGATAACCCGCTGGAACCGGGACTGAAGAAAATTGCTGGAGACTGCTTAGACGAGAAACAGTGCAAGAAATGTGCTACTGATGTAAGTCTTTATATACATGTTCTTCTAAACATAAAAAGACTTTATTAGTCCCCTACCAGTTAACCGGAGGGGACTTTAGGTTTACCCTCCGTCCGTCTGTCTGTCTGTCCGTCTGTCTGTCTGTCAGTCCGTCCGTCCACAAAACTGGATCCCGCGATAACTTGAAAAGTACTGAAAATATTTTTATGAAACTTATAATATGGATAGATGGCAGTATGGAGATTATGCACGTCTTTTTCTTTTCTTCCTATGTTGAAAATTCTGGTTGCTATGGCAACAAATAGGCTTAAAATATGGCAAATTTTACACATAAACTGGATCCAGTGATAACGCAAAAAGTACTGGAAATATTTTTATGAAACTTGAAATGTGGGTAGATGGCAGTCTGGAGATTATGCTCGTCTTTTTCTTTTCTTCCTATGTTGAAATTTCTAGTTGCCATGGCAACAAATAGACTGAAAATTGGCAAATTTTACACATAAACTGGATCCTGTGTAAACGCAAAAAGTAATAGAAATATTTTTATGAAACTTGTAATATGGGTAGATGGCAGTCTGGAGATTATGCACTTCTTTTTCTTTTCTTCCTATGTTGAAAATTCTGGTTGCTATGGCAACACATAGACTGAAAATATGGCAAATTTTACACATACATTGAATCCAGTGATAACTCAAAAAGTACTGGAAATATTTTTATGAAACTTGACATATGGATAGATGGCAGTCTTGAGATTATGCATGTCTTATCTGTTCTCCCTATTTTGAAAAAATATTGGTTGCCTTGGCAAAAAATAGTCTTAAAACATGGCAGATATAACATAATTTGTGATTAGCCAAAAAGAGCTGATTTTTTGTGCCCCCACGTTAGTGGCGGGCATTTAGATTTACCCTTGTCCAGACCTGGGGATGATTACATTGATCAGTAATTGATTTAATTACAATTACTTTCAGATTTTATTGTAATTGATTACAATTGATTACTCAGACTTGCCTCTGTAATCAATTAAATTACAATTACTTTAAGAAAGTAATTGATTGATAATTGATTACATTCAATGTATAACTATAAACAAAAGTTTCTTAATGCTATTTAATATATACATTATATACACAAAGGATTTCCAGCTCATCAACAGTGACATCATTTTAACACACTTTTAGTTACTGTCACATCACTTTATCATATTTTAGTATTGCACTTTAGCATCATAAGTTCATGAAACCGTCTTGTCAGTCAGACTGCATCTATCAGGACGGAAAATTTGACCCGCAACATCAAACAAACACTCTACAGGGGCCTATGATGCAGGAATGGTCATCAGTCTTCTTGGTATAGGTTTCATAATGAGCTCTCTGCAACAGAAATTTTGAAAAGTGTCAATTGTACAGTATGTTGTATACAGGTGTTAAAACAGGTGTGAAAACAATAAATTTTTGTATGGGAATTTAAAGAGACAATAGGCTTTACAAAGAAATTATTGATTTTTTACAAACACTTCAATGGTACAACAGTATCCATTATAATTTAGACACATTGTCTCTCACCTTACAAAATAACTGTTGCATATAATTAAAATATGGTAATATGCATCTGACATAAACTCTAGAATATACAAAGTAAAGAAGTTATCTTCATTGTTTGAAACTTTTTAAAAATGGTTAAACCAAAATATGTTAAACTAAATTTAACATACCTTTATGTGGGTAATGAAATTTTGGATGTGACTTAGTGTTTCCATTTATCTTCCTAGGACACAATTTGCACTGTGCTGTCACATTTCCAGATGTCTCTTTAGGAAATTCAAAGACATCATAAATCCAATGATTTGACATTTTGGTAAGAATACCAGCCAAACAATGATGTCTATCTTTCAGTTAGAATTTGATTAACTGTATGGATTATAACTTTTTTCTTCATTGTGAGTGATGTCTTAAAACATCTCACTTGATATTTTACTACCTTTATGGACAATCATTGTTTATTATGACAATTTCTATTATTTACTTCAAATATGGATATCAATAGAGAACATTCTTTCTATTCAATAAAAATGTTGCTATTGTGTATCAAAATCAATCAATTTACACTCCACAATTTGTGATTAAATATCATTATAAAGGAGTATAAGTTAAACTGTAACATGTGAAATAAATCATTTGAATTTCAATAGTTTCATATAAAATCTGAAAGTAATCAACATCAATCAAATTGTAATCATAATTACAGACTGAATTTTAGCTGTAATTGATTAATTACAATTACTGTAATCAATTTTGAGCAAGGTAATCAATTACATGATGATTACAGTGTAATCATGTAATCAATTAAAAAATCGATGATTACGATTAGTGATTACCCCAGGTCTGCCCTTGTCCTTCCGTCCGTCCTTCCGTCCGTCCTTCCGTCTGTCCGTCCGTTCACTTTTGTGTCGCACGTAACTCAAAAAGTATTTGACCTAGAGTCATGAAACTTTACAGGAATGTTGATCAGCATGTGTAGTTGTGCACCTGGGTATTTTGGTCTGGATATTTTTAGTATTTTCAGAGTTATTGCCCTTGACTTAGTAAAATTTGGCAATTTTCAACTTGTGTCGCTTGTAACTCCAAAAGTATTTGACCTAGAGTCATGAAACTTTACAGGAATGTTGATCAGCATGTGTAGTTGTGCACCTGGGTATTTTGGTCTGGATATTTTTAGTATTTTCAGAGTTATTGCCCTTGACTTAGTAAAATTTTGCAATTTTCAACTTGTGTCGCATGTAACTCAAAAAGTATTTGACCTAGAGTCATGAAACTTTACAGGAATGTTGATCAGCATGTGTAGTTGTGCACCTGGGTATTTTGGTCTGGATATTTTTAGTATTTTCAGAGTTATTGCCCTTGATTTAGTAAAATTTTGCAATTTTCAACTTGTGTCGCATGTAACTCAAAAAGTATTTGACCTAGAGTCATGAAACTTTACAGGAATGTTGATCAGCATGTGTAGTTGTGCACCTGGGTATTTTCATGTGCATATTTTTAGTATTTTCAGAGTTATTGCCCTTGACTTAGTAAAATTTTGCAATTTTTAACTTGTGTCGCATGTAACTCAAAAAGTAATTGACCTAGAGTCATGAAACTTTACAGGAATGTTGATCAGCATGTGTAGTTGTGCACCTGGGTATTTTCGTCTGGATATTTTTAGTATTTTCAGAGTTATTGCCCTTGACTTAGTAAAATTTTGCAATTTTCAACATGTGTCGCACATAACTCAAAAAGTATTTGACGTAGAGTCATGTAACTTTACAGGAATATTGATCAGCATGTGCAGTTGTGCACCAGGTATTTTCGTCTGGATTTATTTAGTATTTTTAGAGTTATTGCCCTTCACGTAGAAAATTTTTGCAATTTTCAACTTGTGTCGCAAGTTTCTCGAAAAGGATTTGACATAGTCAATAAACCTTATAGGCAGGTTGCTCAGCATATTTTAGATTTGCACCTGGGGTTTGGCTTGTGGATTTATCCAGTATTTGTAGAGTTATTTCCCTTGACTTAGTAAAAAGATTGACAGAACAGTGTCGCGGTGGGGGCACCCGTGTCCTATGGACACATTTCTAGTTTTTTATGAAATTGCATCTTTAATTCAAGAGTTATCTCCTTTTTAAGAATTTTGCTTTTAAAAATGTTATATTTTGGTAACAGGGATGTTTCAAATATTAACTTTAGAGTGTGGACTGTCCTTCAGTCTGTCTGTCTGTCTGTTCATAAAAACTGTTTCCTGTGATCACTTTTAAAGAACTTTTCCAACAAATTCACTTAAAATATAGAAAAATTGAAACATTAGTGAATGACTAATGGCCCTTTAGAATGTTGATAAGGTTCTAACCGGTAGGGGACTTATGGATTGCTTGCAATACTATGATAATTGCTTGTTTATCATACAAATAGGGGGAAAAAAATTTACTTATAAACTGAAAAATAAGTCTTTAAATATTTATAAACTGAAGGGTAAGTCTTTGTTGTATCATAGTTTGAGGACCTTTCTGTTGAAAATATGTCAGAGTTAAATGGTATACATATTATAAATGCACAGTGCGTTAACTGGAGTGCAGGTATTAGTTACACTCACCACAAAGCATGCCAATTGATTGGCTCATTTTTGTTGAGGTTTACTTATTGTGACAGAAGAGAAAGGGAAATTGACAGAAAAATCATATTCAGATGCTCGTTCATTGGTTACTTTTTCCCGGGGTTTCATATTGTGACAACAGGGAACGTGTTTTTATGTTTGACTATGATACAAAAGAGAAAGAACATCAAAACTATGCCCTTTCGTACAAATCAGATAGCCTCGTGTTTCGATGCTCTTTCTATTACATAATGTATACATTTATTTATTAACTGAAAAATGTATTTTGTCACCTTGGTGCAGTAACGGATTAACTCCAATTAAATTATATCAGGAGTTAACCTGTTACTGCGCTAAGGTGATGAGCTGTATATTCTCATATACTGAAAAATGGATATATTCTTCAGTGTCTACTGTTTGATGATAAAACATTATTATAATTCATTGTTTATTTTATTGTTGTTTAAAATGCAAAATTTTATAATTGCTTTTACAGGTTGTTGCACATAACAAGTTGATTCATAATGCAATACAGAAGAAAATACAGGCACAGCGTGAAGAAGAGAAAAGTGAGTACATATGGAGGATAATTAAGTTTTAGAAATGAACAATTGTAATTTTTACCCAGTCAGAAGTGTATTAAGTTTTAATGATAGATGTAGAGTACGCCATGTTTGGTTATTGGTTTTGTTGGCAGACAACAGAGTGTAAACATTTTTTTTCCCAGCATAATTTCTATATTTCTCGAAAGATTTCATCTAGATTATATTGTTTTTAACATATGTAATATTGGCAGTAAACTGGTTTTGTGACAATTTCCTGTTGCATGTAAGTACTAAGTTCTTATAAAATTATTGTTTCATATGATATATAATGTATAATAGAAAAAAGGCAAGCAGAAGAAGCTAAATTAGAGGCAGAGAAACAAAGAATATCCGAAGATAAGAAAAGAAAGAAACAAGAGAAGCGTCAAGCCCAGAAAGCCAAGAAACAAACTACACCTGAAAGACAAGAACAACAGAGTGAGTTACAATCTATCTTTATGTAGGTGGCGGCATGGCCAAGTGGGTAACGCGTTGGACTAGTAATCTAAGGATTGCTGACCGCGTGGGTTCAAACCCTGTCAGGGGCAAGCTGTTATTTCCTTGAACATGAAACTTTACATTTATAGCTTACGATAGTACTGGTTGGTTCCAGGAATGGATTCGAGAGTGTTTCAATAAGTTTATAGCTTCCAACACAATCGAACTGAAATAAATTTGTATTAACTAACTTGTATTTGCGTTTACATTGCCAGTTTTAATGAAATGATGATAATGGGACAGATTTAGCCTTTTAGGGGTCTGGGTCATAAGCAGGGTCGTTTTATAAAGTAGATGGGTAAAAATAGTAGCAGGATGGCCCATTATACATTGCTTGGGATTTTACCTGGTTACTAGGTCTTAAAGATAAAATTTAATATCTTGAGAAAAAAATTGTTGAATTCTTATCATCTTTTATGGTATTCATGCAATGTAATGGATTTTGCAAAGGTCATTTGCTTAGTCAATATCTAACTTTATATTTTATTACTCTTGGGGTTTTTTCTTGCACAAAGTGGTGGGGGTGTTAGTACTTTACCCTCCAGATCATGGCAGTTAGCCACCTTGAATTCATCAGAGCACAGTTCTGCCACCATATCATTCCTGGGCAGACTGTCAAGCAGTTTGCCAGTACTGTTTGCCTTTACTTTCACATAGACCTTAAAACTTCTATACATGCCAGAGCAAATGTAAAGTGCCAATGGCTGTAGAAAAGATTTTATGATTAGTCACAGTAAAAGTGACCAGCCACGTCCACAGCTGTTCTAAAATTGTAAATTTGATTCTGTTTTTTTAGATGAACCAAAACCATCAACAAGCAAAACAAAACAAAAGGCAGCAAAGAAAGGTAAATTATAATATTTTGTTCATAGCTGATGTAAAGATATGGCAACACAAAAAGAGAATGATTGTTTAAAATTGATATGAAATATATCTCACTAAGGTGGTTTCTTAAATATTTACTCTGGGCATATATAAGACATATAAATGCTGTAAAAATTGGATACATTTTCAGTGTTTGTGAAAAGTAAAAAAGAACTGTATGAAACTTAATGTATCATAAGAACCGTAAAAAAAAACCACACACACAAAAGCAGATGAATTAATAATTAGACATAAGACAAAATTACTGACCTATATTTTTTAAAGTCATTTCCTAGTAATAAAAAGGAATGTTGAAAGTTACAATTTAATTTTGAAAATTTTGTGAATTTTTAAAAAAATTCTCAGAAATGGCTCTCAACATTTTTGTAGCATATGATTTCTTATGAAAAATCAGGTTTATATATGTGTATGATATCATCTGTATTTTTTATATTTTCTTAATGGCTACTTTATCTTTATTTCCCACTTGGAAAAGCATATATTGTTGCAAGGAAAAAGTAATGTAGCCGTGCCATGACATAGTCAACATAGTGCATTTCCAGACCAGCCTGATCATCCGCGCAGTCTGATAAAGATCCATGCTGTTCGCTTACAAACCCTATTAAAAGTAGAGAATCTGATAGCAAACAGTATGGATCCTGATCAGACTGCACAGAGGCGCAGGCTGGTCTGGATCCATGCTGGTCGCAAACCCACTATGTTGATTTTGTCGTGACACGGCTCATATTGTATTGATACATTTACAGAAGATGGCGGAGGAGGTGGCAGTCAATGCTGTTTGAAAGTCCTGTTCTGGATCTTCCTTACTCTCGGTGTTCTCCTGGCAGCTATAACCGGTATCCTTGGCTTCTGTCAGAATGACCCGAAACATAACTTCTGTGAAGTGATACAGTTTGAGACTGCTGTTGTACCATGGACCAAAACGAACATTGTACCTTACATTGAAAAGGGGCAAGATGTTGCTGCTGACGTTGGAAGGAAGGTAAAGCTTTATGCTGATAATGGTATTGTTTGGGTACAAACAAATGGACCAGTCTATGTTAACAATGTGAAACAGAAATGGAATGATGTTCAAGAATTTGTCCTTGCAAAGTATAGATCTTTTACTGGTGAGGATGAGGAGCTTGCTAAAAAGGAAGCAGCAGCATCAAAGAAAAAGGTACCTTCAGCTAAACCAACAACAACCACAACTCAAAGACCTACTACCACTACCACCTCCAAACCCACAACCACAACAACCACCACTCAAAAACCAACAACAACTCAAAAACCTACCACAACTACTACCACTCAAAAACCTACCACAACAACTACCACTACCCCAAAACCCACAACAACCACTACTCCTAAGCCTACCACAACAACCACTACCACTCAGAAGCCCACTACCACAACAACTACTACTCCTAAACCTACAACTACCACCACTCAAAAACCTACTACTACAACAACCACTACTCCCAAACCAACAACTACCACCACTCAAAAGCCTACCACTACAACCACCACTACTCCTAAGCCTACCACAACAACCACAACCACTCAGAAGCCCACTACCACAACTACTACTACTCCCAAACCTACAACTACCACCACTCAGAAACCCACTACCACAACAACCACTACTCAAAAGCCTACCACTACAACAACCACTACTCCAAAGCCTACCACTACAACTACCACCACTCAAAAACCCACTACCACAACAACCACTACTCAAAAGCCTACCACTACAACAACAACTACTCCAAAGCCAACCACCACAACTACTGAAAAACCCAACTACCACCACCAACTACCACCACTACCACTCAGAAACCAACTACCACAACAACTACTACTCAAAAACCCACTACCACAACAACCCAAAAACCAACAACTACAACAACCACCACTGAAAAACCTACTACCACTACTCAAAAGCCTACAACAACAACCACACAAAAGCCTACAACTACTCAAAAGCCTACAACTACCCAGAAGCCCAGTACCACTCAAAAGCCAACTACAACCACAAAACCCACCAGCACCACTCAGAAGTCAAAAATAGAGAAACCAGAAGAGAAAGTTAATGCTAAAAATGATGACACTAAAGATAATGTGAACAAAAAAGAAAATGAACAATATATAAAAGGAGGTCAAAGGGTACAGAATCAAGAAATGAACCCTGATGAAAAAGTGGTAAGGGGTGGGCAGCAGAATAAGCCAAAAAATTGATGAACTATGTATTTAGGTTTTAAGTAATTTTTTATCAAAGATTGTTATGAAAGAGGATTTATGAGATTGGTAAAATCATTGAAATGGGATTGTATTATTTTTGACTCGAGGGTCCAACAGATCAAATTCTGTCAAATTCATGAAATTGGTAGTCACTGGTTTCAAGGCACCTTGTTGTTGATAATCAGTAATCATGGTAGCAATTGATTTTTATTTTTCACTCTATGTACATGTATTATGTTTTGAATTAGGAACGGATATTTTCAAATTAGAAAAGATTGTTCTAATAAACATGTACATGATTTCAAAAAAATTGAATGAATAATGTTTAATAACATGATTTAAATTAGGTTATAACATTAAATATCCTTCGGAAGTTACCAAATTTTCAACTTCTTCAATATGCAGAAATTGCTTTTACCGAGTTAGTAACGAGATATAACTTTAAAATGTTGGTTCAAAAACAATGTTTGTCATATTTATTATATTCACCTGGATTGTGAACACATGTACCTGTATATTTCTTAAATGAGCCGCGTCATGACAAAACCAACATAATGGGTTTGCGTCCAGCATGGATCCAGACCAGTCTGCGCTTATCAACGCTTTTACAAGTCGAAAAACTGAAAGCGAACAGCATGGATCCTGATCAGACTGCGTGGATGTGCAGGCTGGTCTGGATCCATGCTGGTCGCAAACCCATTATGTTGGTTTTGTCGTGACACGGCTCAAATTATAAATATACTTTTTTATAAGATTTCTTTAAGATTCCTTTTTACTCATTTTGAGGTGTTAAGCTTTAAATTAAATAATTGATTATCATTATATTGACAAAGGACTGTTTCTTAATCATGTAGAATTAATTTGAATATTTTTCTGAATAATTGATTTGGCTATATAAAATTTATTATTTTCATTGGTCACTTTAAAAATAGGGGTATTGAAGCAACCAATCAGATGAGAGGCAACAACAAACCTGTTGCTTCTCTGCCATGAAGGGATCAAAATTAAGTACATTTATATAACATGACGATTCAAAGCTTCATGTGTGTTTTGATTTCTAAAAGAATTGAATTCAATGTTTTCAAGAGATATTTTTATATGTACCAGATATGTAGATTAGGAGAATTTAGAATAATGAATTAGAATTGGTTTTCTTATTCCTACTTTCAATATGGCTGTTTCATAATCATTGCTAACAGTACTGATATGGATTTTCTGTACAATGTTTGCTGTAGTTTTTATTGTGTCATATCTAAAATGATTATTAGTAATGTTATATGGGATGTGAAACAGTTTATTTATTAGCTTGTCTGTTTCGAAGAAAATGTCGAGATATTATGATCACTGGTCTGTTATCATTGTTGTCTTTGTTCAAAAACTTTAATTTAGCCCATTGTTTAAATATGTTAAAAATTATCAACATGAAACTCGTAATACTTGCTTATCATGACAAGGTGCAGTTGTAAGACATGGGACATAATTATAAAAGGAATATTTTTGGAGTTATGCCCCTTTTTAACTTGGAAACATATGGGGCTCTTGTATATAAAGTTTAGATTGCAGTAAGGCTATGTTTAAAGTAAGGAATTTTTTTTTGCATTATTTTACGTGACATGAAATAAGTTTATTTATGAATTTCGTGAAATTTAAGTTAAAAAGTTATTTTGTATTGATTTGATATTTCATTTTGAAATACAAAAAGTTTTATGAATTGAAATATTTTACATTTGATGCCTTGAGCAAATTTTTTTAAAATTTTAATTAAAGTTGGTAAAGATAAATAAAGTTGACTTTATATTTGATGCATTTAAAGTTAGAAGTATATAAGTATATAAAAGTTATTTAAAGTGTTATAAATCTTGTGTTTCATGTGCATGAATGTTACTTTCTTACCATTGACAGGAAATTTAGGTCACCTGATTTCTTCAGGACAGGAAGTTATTCCATTTTGATAACAGCGATCATTTCCCTACTTGTGCGATGTTTATTCCATTTTGATACTGCGATCGATTCCCTACTGATGCAATGTTTGTCAAATTTTGTTGACATATATGTAACACTTATAGATATTTGTAATAAAATGAATGAGACCTTTGTCCACATAAGTAGCTTCATTACCAGAGGATTCACCTCATTACTATTTGAGTGACCTCATTAACATTCTAGTGACCTCATTCAACTAATCTCATCATGGCCAGAACAAGCCTAAATTGTTGTGTATTTAATGGATGAGGGTGCATGCTGTCCAGAACAATAATGAAACAACAGATAAGAACTAACAGCAGTGTATTTGGTGGTATACTTCTGATTTTTGCTTAAATGTTTTTTGTGATGGTAATGTGTCATTTTAGAATGTTTAAGACATTTCAGGCTGTAAGTTAATTTTTAAATACTTACTCCTACATTTTCAAGAATTGGTAATTTGTTGGTGGTGGCAGAGGGGCATAAATTGTCAGTATTGTTACTTAGTGATCTTAAATAAACATTCAAGTTAATGGTAAAATGAAGCCTTATTTTATGACCACCATATCATTTGTTGTCTCATCTGTTTCAAAGAAAATGTCATCAATATAATACTTGGAATACTTGCTTATCATGACAAGAGGCAGTTGTAAGACAAGGGGCATAATTCTGAAAGCTATATTTTTGGAGTTATGACCCTTTTTAACTCAGAATTTTAGTCAAAAAACAGTTTTTAAACAGACGAGCATTAGACTGCATGTGATGCTCTTGTTTCAAAAAATAATTATCATCCTTGTATTGATAAGTAAATTTGTTGATAATTTATTTTTTATCAACACAAATATTTTGTCCCAATCTTCAACTGTATTATTTTGTAAGTTCATTTTGTTATCTAATCATATGTTATCATAAATTCATTATTCATTTATCATTTTGGTTGTGGGAAAATATCATAAAGTTACCTGATGTCAGTGCAGGAATTTATTTTCGACCTAAGCTGAAAGACTAGGTTTTTAAATGAGTCATCCATTCATTGGTCAATTTGAAAATTTAATTCATTTAATCAGCCAATGAGAATTTGGTTAGTAGTGATTGAAAATTTTGATGTAAAGTTGTCATCAAATATCAGTATGGTATGTAGATATAATTCATCATATGGTGCAAATTGTAATGAATGGTTAATTATATTTTATTGTTTACTTACATGTAGGACAGTCTTTTTCATATTTTTGTACAAAAAGAAATCATAGAGAGATCAGTATTGATAATGATAAATGAGATTCTTTCTAAAGTGTTAGCAATATTTAATGTTGTTAGTAAAATGGGAAAAAAATCAGCAAGCTTTAAAATTGATCTTGGATCGTGCATTTTGAAAATAAAGGTATTTTATTTAATGAATAGCTTTGAGTATACAAGGTAATTATGTTACCAGAAGCCTTTGAAATTGATTGGTTAAAGATTTAAGTCACTAACCAAATACTTACTTAACCCTCACTACTGTGGGATTAAATCTCACTAAAAACGTTTGATTCTTGCATGTGGTGAGGCATAGCCAGCTTCCTTACAGTTAGTTGCTTGTATTCTGGTACCCACTTATGCTTGAAAGGTCTGAAGTCTTCCTTTACCAGTATTTAGCTGGAAAGTTGCCATATGACATTTGAAGGTACAATTTGATATGAAATTAACTATCAAATATTTTTTATGTAGATGAATCATGAAATTATTGACCTATAGGGACCAATGATGTTAACTGAGTGGTCAGTTATTCTGCTCAGGTATTGATGACTTGCAAGTTTTCAAAGCTTCTTCATATTATAAGAAATGTTTTCCATTCATATGTATTAAATTGTTTCTAAGAACTTGCAATTGTTACGTTATTCAAAAATGTTAAGAATCTTCAGTTGTTTTTTTTCTCCATGTTTTTAACTTTAAAGACAGGTAAAACTGTTAGTTTTCTGATTAAAATTGTTTTAATATATGAATAGTAGCTTTACTAATTATTATGTGATAATAATTTTTTTGTAATACTGAAAGCTGTATTTGAAATGTTATAGAGGTGACTTATTTATAGATGCCATGCTGAAATTTCAAAATTCTAGTCTAGAATGAATGTTTATTTTTGCGTGTTTTCGGTTATGCACCAGTTAGTTGTAATCTCCAAACTCATCTACCCACCAACTCACACACCACACATATAACACACACAGAAGGAAAAGTGGGGACTTTACACAATGCACACACAGGGAAAAGTGGGGACTTAACATAACACACACCAAGGGAACAGTCTGGACTTAACATAACACACACCAAGGGAAAAGTGGGGACTTAACATAACACACACCGAGGGAAAAGTGGGGACTTAACATAACACACACCAAGGGAAAAGTGGGGACTTCACATAACACACACCCAGGGAAAAGTGGGGACTTAACTTAATACACGCCCAGTGAAAAGTGGGGACTTAAACTTGTTGATTTTCTGTTGGTATAAGCCAGATCCTGCTGGGCAGTGTGACAGACATATCCATTGCTATATTTAAGCACCAACAAAACCATTGCATTGACCTTGCAGTTAAGAAAACTTTTTTTCAGTTTTTGGAGATGGGATTGGGTTACGGTTGAATTGACTGGTGCATAACAATTTGTCATTGTTATTTATAGTACATGTAAGGGTCAACTGAACATTAAAGAAATGTTGTGTATGGCTAATGTCACTTTAATAAAAGTATGTTGAAATCACAGTAGATCTACATCTGAATTCTTTGAGGGTTTTTTTTAATGAAAACAATGATATTGCATAAATTAGAACATTTTTAGAAAAGCATGTCACAGTTTTAATAAAGTTTTAATTGTGTTTTGTTTTTCTTCA